AAATATAGATTGAATGTTCACCAGTTAAAGTACAATTAACCTCTCAGTAAAATGATACTTTTATGCACTGCCCCTTCTTTGTAACTTTATTGTTTTTTTTAATAGAATTCTTTGTAAATCTTCTCTAAGGCTTACAAATATGGGAAATTAGCAAGTTCGTTAATCAGAACATTAGTAAACAGCAGGAAAACTAAATCATAAACCTAGTTATGAAGATGCAATGGAGTAAATAATAATAAGAGTTTAAGCAAATAGAAAGGTAATCAAAATCTTTTCTTAGTGCACCTCAATTCTGATCTAAAGTTGCACAAAGGTAAACCTAGTGCTATAGAGGAAAAATAGGGACCTCCTTAAAAGCAACTTTAGAAAGAACACACTTGATTTTTAATAGTGAAGCCAAAAACTCTCCAGCAACATAGGTGGTCCTGGACCATTGTTATCCTTGGAGAGAGCAAGATTCCATTGCTAGTAGAGGCAGCCTGGTTCATTGTTTTAGTATTTGGTAGTACCAACTATAGCTGCTCCAAACTCTTGTCAATGAAACTGGAGTGCACGTTTAAGACTGCCCTACTGGAGTCTGCAAGGTCTCTAAGAACACTTCATAAATACTTCTTAGTTGTCAGAAGTTAGAGACCCACACTTTTTTTTTTTTTTTTTTTTTTTTTTTTTTGGTACTGGAGATCTAACCCAGGGACACTCTACCACTGAGCCACATTCCTAGCTCTGTTTATTTTTTATTTTTGGATAGGGTCTTGCTAAATTGCTGAGGCTGGCTTTGAACTTGCCATCCTCCTGTCTCAGCTTCGGGAGCTGCTGGGATTACAAGCATGTACCACTGTGCCTGGCAGAGTAGGGTATTTCAAAACCACTATTCTATACTCAAGGAAAAAAATGTTGATTTAATCCTTATCTCTAACGGGTCTGTCCCATGCTTCAATGTACCCATAATACCCACACACAAGCATAGGAGTAAGGAAAGACACTGTAATGCAGTAAAATGGAATTTAGAGCTGAGCACTTTCCCCTCAGAAGATAAAATTCAGAAAAACAAAAAAGTTTATAAATGTTTAAAAATTAAAGTTTTCAACTATTAAAACTCTCATGTAAAATACCAAAAAAATATATATTTTGAATCTTAAGGTGGAGTGGTGGAATTCATATTCATATAAGTTATATTACTGTTAAATAAGTGTTTTTAAAAATATGCCAGTTTGGAGCCTAGTATAGTGGCGCACACCTGTAATCCAGCAGTTCAGGAGGCCGAGGCAGGAGGATTTCGAGTTCAAAGCCAGCCTCAGCAACTTAGCAAGGCACTAAGCAACTCAGTGAGACCCTGTCTCTAAATAAAGTACAAAATAAGGCTGGGGATGTGGCTCAGTGGTTAAGTATCCCTGAGTTCAATTCCCAGTACACAAAAAAAGCCAGTTGTAGCTCAGTGGTAGAGCACTTGTGAGGTACTGGGTTCCATCCTTGGCAGCACATAAAAATAAATAAATAAAATAAGGTATTGTGTCCATCTACAACTAAAAATATTTTTTAAAAAAAGGGTTATTTTTTAATGCCAGTTTGGGGGAGGGGTATACTTAAAATGTAACCTGGGCAGCTTCATCTTTGAACCTGATGTGGCTTTGAGAGCCATATCTAGAAACTGGGCCAGAATATGGAACTCAAGGTTTTCTTCCAAGCTTGTTATGCTCCAAGGTACTAGATGAACAATGTGTGTCTTGTTCCCAAATGCTCATATATGGCTATGGAAAATTTTCCTCTTTTAGTTGCTTCTCTCCTGCCTTCCACAGAGATAGTGTGGAATGTCACCTATTTTATCTGTACTAGTTTCTCTCAAGTGTGGAATGTCACATATGTTATCTGTACTAGTTTCTCTCAAGCCCTGGAGTTATGTAGACTAGTGTACTAGGTTTCATTTTACCCATTATTCAGGTCCAAAAACTACATGTAGCTGTTGACCATTCTCTAAACAATCTGAATAGTATGTATGAACTGACTTTCATTCTCTGTATTCCAGCCAATCTGTTTTATTTAGGCTCAAGAGCCTTAATGTGAGGATATGAAATAAGTTGTAAATAATATTAAATAGAATAGCTTGGGAAGGAACAGTATATACTCAGAGACCAAAATGCAAGGCAATGTGAAGTAACTGTTTGGTGATATAAAGTATAACACTTGTAAAATAGTAGTGACAAATAAAATCAAATCAGATAGCTTAAAAGTTCCCACATGCAATAAAATAAAAAATGCTGTAAGACTGAAGCATTTGGGGTAGTTGTTAGTGGTTTTCAAAAATGATCAGCAATAACATTATAATTTGCCATCAAAGTTTTACCAGAAATTTTACATAAGAAAAAATTATCCTGGACTGGATGAAGAAAGGTAGGGATTGATAAGACAGTTATCTGTAGACCAAATTCCTCTTTCCACAGTTCACTCCCTCCCACTCCTGCATGTTAGAGAGAAAACTAGAATGTGTCAAATACAATCCCTAAGACAGTGGTTCAGAGCATTAGCTTTGGAAGTAAATACACCTGAGTTGGTGCCCCGGTTCTTTCAATTACTAGCTGTGTGACCTAAGAAAGGTTGCTTACCTGCTCTGTCTCATTTCCCTCATTTTAAAAATGGGGATGATGACAACTTCTTCAAAAAGTTGTCACATGTGAAGATTAACTGAGAAGCAGTTCCTGAGGGGTTGTGGGTATTCAATAAAGACAAAAAAATATTTTCTATTTTCACTGCCACTATTTTTCTTCATCTCTTTTTGGTCCATTATTGTGACTGTTGTGTACAATTCTCATCATGTCACATGCCTGTTTAAAGCTTCTCAGTGACTGCTTGATACTCACAGGATAAAAGTAAAATTCCTTGGCCTGGAAAGTGCAATCATGCCTGTAGTTCTGCCTGTGGGATCTGTACTAGTTACCTATTATATTAAAAGTTACCACAAGGTTAGTGGCTTAAAATAACCCACATGTATTCTCCCACAGTTTCTGTGGGTGAGGAGTCCAGGCACAGTTTAGCTGGATCTTCTATTTCTAATTCTCATAAGTCACATTCAAGGTGGCAGCTAGAGTTGGGGTCTCATCTGAGGCTTGAGGTGAGAGAGATCTACTTCCAAGCCAGTGTGGTTGATGTTAACATTCAGATCTTTGTATGCTGCTGAACTAAGGTTCTTGGTTTATTGCAGGATGTTAGTCAGAGGCCATCTTGGATTCCTTCCCATGTGGCCCTTTCCATAAGATAGCTTGTATTATGGCTTCTTGCTGCATCAAAGTCAACAAAGGAGACTTCTAGGAAGATAAAGTTTATAATCTTTTGTGATACAAATATGTATATCCTATCACCTTGCTGTACACGGATGGCTAGAAGAAAGTCACAGGTCTGTTCTTAAGAAAAGGGTGTGCCCACCAGAGGGAGGGATCATGGGAGCCATCTGTCTGCCACATGCAGGATTGAATGCTGGTAATTGATTGCCAGTTCCACTATTTCTCTAAGCCTAATGGAGACACAGTGGTTTTCTATCTCACAGTTGTTAAAATCTTAAATGAAGCCAGGCACAGTGGTGCATGCCTGTAATCCTAGTGACTCGGGAGGTTGAGGCAGGAGGATGGCAAATTCAAAGCCAGCCTCAGCAACTTAACATGGCCCTATGTAACTTAGAGAGACCCTGTCTCAGAATAAAAGAGCTGGGGATGTGGCTCAGTGGTTAAGTGCCTCCTGGGTTCAGTTCCTGGTACCAAAAAATTAAATAAAAGCTCAAATGAGGTAAATGATTTGCAGAGGATTCTACACTCATCCAACTCATACATACTTTAAGGTTTGTCTTACATTCTACCTCCTCTATGAAGGCTTGGCCAAGTCTGATCACCCACATGAATTTTTTGTTTCTTATAACACAAATTGGGCCACTCATAGTTTATTCAGTATTATATACTCATGTTTCATAAATGAAACATCATGATGTTTATCCATCTGATAAAATTAAAGCAACTTGAGAGCAAGGATTTTTTTCTCTGTAAATAATAAAGTAACATTTATTAAATATTTAGGATGTGTCAGGCATTCTGGTAATCATTTTATTAATTATTAATTCTTCTAATCCTTCCATCAACCCTTTGATAGAAGTCCTATTATCACTCTTATTTTTCAGATAAGGCAACTGGCTTGGAGATGCTAAGTAATTTGTCCAAGGTCATATAGCTAGTCAGAGGTGTCTGACTCCAGGGATGAAGTTCTTACCTACTTCATATGCTACTCTTTTGTATGGTCTAGGAAAGTATGATATACAAAGTAGTTGTTCATTTTAATCTTTGACACATGGAAATGAATTTATTTTGGAGGGAGAAGACTGCTAGAGAAGTCCACTTTCCTACTGATATTCAAGATGGATTGGGGGTGGGGGGCAAGTGTGTCCTGGCATCCTGCTTATTGATTTATTTTGCTGGTAGAAAGTTTCCATGGCTACCAAATAGCCACATCCTATGAAGCCTTCTTTTGGGATCACAACTTAAGTTCAGAATCTCTGTGCTATGTCATAACACCTAGGAGCTTACTGTGATCTGGTTCTCATTCATTCCTCTTGGTTCCCATGGTCATGAGGGACTATATTCCCACTATGTCCACTCTGCGTTCTACTCAGTTCTCCTTTAAGAGCATTCATCCTTGAATCCTTAGCCAACTCACCCAGTCACTGAACGAAGGCCATAAATTCCAGGGCCTCACAGTATGAATTATCTGTGAGAATTTACTTCCAGTTCTGGGGACAGGACCCTTGGGAAAACTAGGCACTGGGCCAGAAAGAGAGAGTGACCAAGAATGGCCTGGTCACCCTTAACCTGACCTTGACCTTCAGCAAAGTAGAGGACTAAGCCACTCAGGAAATAGTATATGTTTCACCAGATGTTCTCTGGACTGTATCTTCTGCTTTATCTATTTAATCTGTGCTCTTCCAACTTCAATTTTATTTTATTTTTTATTTTTTGCCATTTCAGAATGAGGCTGAGGCCAAATGGTCTGCCTTTTATGAAGAGCAGTCAAAGCTTGCTAAAGATTATCCACTACAAGAAATTCAAAATTTTACACTCAAGCGTCAATTGCAGGCCCTTCAGCAGAGTGGGTCTTCAGCGCTCTCCGCCAATAAGAGGGAACAGGTATGTTTTGGAACATTTCAGTACTGCCCCCAAGAGTTGAAATGTTTGGGAAATATTAACATTAATGTCACCCATGGATGCTTCCTTCATCTGCAAAGATAGTAATGCTGACATTAGAAAGAGATTTGTACCTCGGTCAAGTGACTGTAATTTATTATACAAACTGGCATATCTTGGAGGGTGAAAGAAGACACTGGGTTCTGATATGGAAAGAAGTGAGTAGGAATGTGTCACTCTGCACCCCGTGATCTACACCAACTAAGACAGTCAAGGACTATATTAGATTGTTTTGTTTTTTGATAGCCAAATGCCATGGTTGGCTCATGTCAACCTCACTGTCAATGGAGTCTCCAAATCTCTTCCACCAATGTTGCTTTCAAATGGCACTCTAAAATTTTGTTTTCTTAGATAGTTTGTCCAAATTTGAGAAAGCCTATATTCACCCCTGTTAAAATAACATCCCTCATTCCATTCCTCTAGCCCAGGAATTGGCAAAGTTTTTTCTGTAAAGGAACAAATAGTAACTATTTTAGGTTTTGCAGGCCATATTGTTGGTGTCACAACTAGTCAGTTCTGCCATTGTAGCAGGAAGTCAGCCATAGCTAATACATAAATGAATAGATGTGGCTGTATTCCAACAAAACCTAACAAAAACAAGCAACAGACAGGACTTGGTCTGCAGACCATAGTTTGCAGACCCCTGTTATAACCTACTGAAATATTTTTATCTAAAATATTTAGTTATTTAACATCAAAGTCGTCTTTCTCAGTTACTTGTCCTTTGGAACGAGGACATTTTTATAAAAATAAAAATGCATGATAAGGACAAAGATAAAGCCATATGGTATTTATTTCTACAAGTTAATATTTATTATTCTGCATTCTTTGGATCCAATTATCCCACGAGTTATCAATCCTCTTTATCTTATCCATTCCATGTTTCTCCATTGTTTTCACAAGGACACCATGAGAAATCTTGGCCTTTTAATTTAGGCAGCATACTCTAGCCTGGATAGGACCTGGACATTCTATTTTTAAAAGATCCCCAAATAATTTTAATAGGTAGCCAGAACTGAAAACTGCTTAAATGCAAGTAAGAGCTTGAAGTGTCTGGGAAGGAGGGAGACTCCAGGATGCATGTGTTCAGTGAAGAGAAGGAAGGGAGATTAAGGAAGCAGATAGAGAAAGAGACTCTGAGGAGTTTTGTGCCAAGGGAAAGAATCTAGGTTTATTGTCTTGGACTATGGGATTTGTGGAAGTTTCAAGCAAGGTATCTAGTTAATGTTTTAGGATAATGACTCTGTAGCAGAGTAGAAAAATAATGGAAGAGGGAACTAGAAAAAGGGGAAACAGGACCTTTAATACAGTGCTTCTTAAATCATATCTTCCCTTCCTCCCTCCTTCCCCAGTCCCACCCATCACTTCCCTTTCTTCCTTTATTTCCAATCCACAGCAAATCAATATTTGATTAAGTTCATTAATTACATACTTAGATACCATGGAAATTTCAAATCATTTAAAGCTTATAAACATGTACTCTCACAATTCCTGTGCCTACCACAGCATGGAAAAGATCTTTTGCTGCCTTGCACTGACCCAGAGGCATGCTTTGCATAGCACGCCTTTCTTCACATAATTGTCATCACTTTCCTTGACCTACAGAACAAAGTTTGAATTTTTCACTATGGCATACATGGTCCCTCATGATCTGGCCCCTGCTTACCTCTGTCTTTCTCATCTCCTCCATTTTCCCCAGTGAACATCAGTACTCCACTTTTATTCAACATCTTGCCACTCCTTGAAAATGCATTATCATTTCCAGCCTCCAATCATGTTTAGGCTCTTCTCTCTACTTCCCTTCTGTACCAGACTAATTCCTACTTCTGTGTGACACAGCTCTAATGTCTTATCCTCTTTGAAGTCGTTTGTGAGTCTCCAGGCTATACATCCCTATTCTACTCTCTCGTCAATACTGCCACATCACTTTTTGGTGACAGTTATTATAACACTTGTCATTCTGTTATGTAGTTATTGATTTCATGGCTGCCTCACTGTCTCATGACTCTGGGGTCTTTGAGGGCCTGTGACTTGTTTATTTCAGAATTGTCAAAGTGTAGGACATAGTAGAGACTCAATAAATGCTGAATAAAAGAAAAAATGCACATATTTTCCTATAAATAATTGAGAAACATTGTTGGAGTTCTGGTAGATATGTTCATTTCAATTACTCCACATACATTTATTATGTGTTTATAAGGCTATGTGCTAGTTTACAGTGAGGAAAATTAAATGTATTCCTCCCTTACATACAGGAAGAAATATGGAAAAGAAGTGAATCGTTGCATTCTGAGGGATCAAAAAGCCACATTAGGGGGCTGGGGTTGTGGCTCAGTGGTAGAGAACTCACCTAGCATGTGTGAGACCCTGGGTTCAATCCTCAGCACCACATAAAAATAAGTAGATAAAATAAAGGTATTGTGTCCATCTACAACCAAAAAGTAAATACTAAAAAAAGCCACATGACCAAAAGGATATCTTTAAGTTAGCATTCTCTTTAGCACATTTTCCATTTCCAATATTATTTATTATCTTTAATTTGCAGTTGAACACAATTCTAAATACGATGAGCACCATCTACAGTACTGGAAAAGTGTGTAACCCAAAAAAACCTCAAGAGTGCCTACTGCTTGAGCCAGGTAGGCTATTAATTTTGAGTACTGATTGTGAAATTTACTTTTTTTTAATTCCAAATTTTAAAAATGAGATTGACTTTAGATTATGACATTTCACTTTTCGGATGGGCAACTGAAAGATGATAAGATTACAAATTTGTGTTTCAGCATAGATGCTCTTTTAACTTCAAAAAAATCTCATTATAAATTCTATCACATTCAAGTAATTTGTCAAGTAAATTATTGCACTAGTTATTTTTCTCTGTAAACACAATTTGGATCTATAGTAAGGGCAAGGAAGTGAATTAATCACAAGATTTCATTTAATAACTTTATGACCTTGACGTTGATGTCTGCCAACTTTACTTTTAATTCTTTAAAATTCATATAATTGTTTACAAAAAAAAATTTTTACAAATGCATGTTTATTTTCCTTTGGGGCTTTGGGATAACAGGTTTGGATGAAATAATGGCAAACAGCACCGACTACAGTGAGAGGCTCTGGGTTTGGGAAGGTTGGAGGTCTGAGGTTGGCAAGCAGCTAAGGCCATTATATGAAGAGTACGTGGTCCTGAAAAATGAGATGGCAAGAGCAAACAGTAAGTTTATTGGACTTAGAGTTCCTGGAGATCTCTGGGACCATGGGATTATTTCTCATTCATTATTAAGCCTGACCTTGATATTAAGATGTCTCTAAATTAATAATCATTTGCTAAACAATTCATGTTACCTGTTTCAACAGGAAACTACTGGGGCATATAAAGAGGTGCATTGAAACTCTAAGGTTTAAACAGCTCAGGAATGAGATTCAACTACAAGATCTCAAAGGAATTAATTGTCCAGAAATTATTAATTATAAGTTATCCAAGGAAGTCTCAGTCCCCCAAGGGGACTGAAGGAGGGAATCAGGGGATTGAGTTAGTATCCTATTTCTTAGACAGAATTAGAGACAGTGACATTATATAAACCCTCATCTGGCCATAGTTCATTTTCAAAACTCATTTACAGGGGCTGGGGTTATTGCTCAGAGGTAGAGCGCTTGCCGAACACATGTGAGGCACTAGGTTCGATTCTCAGCACCACATAAAAGTAAATAAAATAAAATAAAGGCATTGTGTCCATCTACAACTAAAAAAAAATTTTAGAAACTCATTTACATATCTACCTCTGGGTGATGGCTCAGAAAGAAACAAAAAATCAGGTTAAGCTGGAAACCCTTTATTTTTTTTCCATTGTAATTATAATTTGAATCAAGTAGTCATAAAAATATTAATTTGGGAAAGAATTTCCATATCTCATAACTTATTCTTCTACCTTTATAAAGAGCTGAAGTCATGGTGTTAAGAATAACTTTATGCTTTCATAATTCACTGCCCTCTGGGGTTGAGTAAGAATTTTTTTCATTTATTGTTATTAGTTTCTTCCACAGCCTTAGGCAAACTGAAGACAATAGCTTATCATCAATTTTATTATAATGTCATGCATATCCTTCTATCCAAATTATTTCTTTCCTCATCTTCCTGATCATCCATTGCCAATGTGTGTGTAAAAATAAAAATTATTAAAATACATTTGCAAACTTTATTAGCTAATACCCTAATACAAGCTTGTTTTTCCTGATGGTTAGATACTAAATGAAGCACAGAGAGATGTGCTATGTATACATATAATTTGCAAACAAACACAGGCCCACTGTTACAGTGTCTGAGATGGGTTATATCATATCTGAAAATCTAAGGTCCTGAATAAAATGAAAATAAAAAGATTCAGAGATTCAATCATGTGTTTTAAAGCTAATAATATAAACTGACATGGAGTAAAGACCCAGGGCTGGGAAAGTAGAAGTGTGTTTCTGTCCCTTACCAGCTATATGACCTTGACCTAGTGGTTTAATTGCTCTAAGCATAGGCTGTTGGTGACAATGTAGATTGGTGTAGCCATTATAGAAAACAGTGTGAAGGTTCCTAAAGAAAATTTAAAAAGAACTACTATATGTGACCTAGCAATCCCTCTTCTTTGTATATACTTAGAGGAAATGAAATCACCACCTCAAACAGATATCTGCACTCCCATGTTCATTGTACATTATTTATAATAGTCAAGAAATGGGAACAACAGAGGTATCAATTAACAGACAAATGGATAAGAAACTGTGGAACAAATGTATAATAGAATGTTATTCAGCTTTAAAAAGGGGGAAACTCTACCATTTGCTACAACATGGATGGACCTGGAGAATGTTATGCTAAATGAAATAAACTTGACAGAAGAAGAAAAATACTGCATGGTTTCACTTATGTGTGGAACCAAAAAAACTTTTTTTAAAAAGGTCAAATATACAGAGAAAGACAATAAAATCATGGCTACTAGGGATGGGATAGGAGGAAATGGGGATATGTAAGTCAAAGGATACAAAGTAGCAGGTTACAATGAGTCTAGAGATCTAATGTACATGAGGACTGGAGTTAATGTAGTTTCCTATATTCAGAATTTTTGCTAAATGAGTAGATTATAGCTGCTCTTGCTATGGGAGGAAAGATGCAACATGATGGTTATATTAATTTGTTTCACTATCATAAACATTTTAATATGTGTCTGTGTCTCATAACATCATGTGTATACCTTAAATATCCACAATACAATTTATTTCAGAAGTAAGCACAGGCTGTTCATTTGTGTAGTGAGGGCTCTAATAATAACAATCTCCTATAGTTTTGTGTTTATTAATAAGATAATACATTTAAACTCCTGACACAGAACAAGTGCTTAACAGAATTAGCTAATGTTGTTATTCATTTATATTCCTTTGAGTTGATGTTTGGAAGGACAATAAAAATGTGATAAACCTTTAAATTTCTTTTAACTTCCTCGCAAGCTAATCTTTGCAAACTCCATTTTCTCTCTTTTCTTTCACTTATGTTCTCTTGTTTTGCTTTTGAAAACCAGATTATGAAGACTATGGGGATTATTGGAGAGGAGATTATGAAGCAGAGGGAGCAGATGGTTATGGCTATAACCGCAACCAGTTGATTGAAGATGTGGAACGCACATTTGCAGAGGTAATTGAGGAACTGGAGCACACTGGAAGCAGGGAAAATCTCTAAAGGCATTCTGGGTTGTTTTTAACATACTGGGCAGCCATTCCCAGGCCGACTAGAATTATGGAATATTAGAGCTTGAAAAGATTTTTGAATAATAGGGCAGCCCCTACACATGATCAGAGTTGCTCTGCTTAACTCCTCCTTTCACTCACTGATTAGTAGTTGCCAATAGACAGATTCTAAGAAGGAATAATCTTTTAGATTATAAAGAATGGCTTTCGTGAGCTATTTGTGGCTGGCAATGTCTTCCTTTATTAGTAGAACCATAAGGTTTTCTCCTTTCTGAGGAACAATTGATACTATTATTTCATTAGCCTTTGACTAAGGTAGTTTTTCCCATATTTTATTAGTATATTATAGCTGTATATAATGGTGGGATTTGTTGTTACATATTTGTATAAGCACACAATATAACAATATATATATTGTTATATTGTGTGCTAATACAAATATATATATTGGTCAACAATTTGACCAATATCATTCCCTAGTATTTCTCCTTTCCCTCCCCTTGACTAAAGAAGTTTTTATAGAGAAGAGAGTACTATAAGTAGAAGTGTCCTATAGACACTTCTCACTATGCCCCTCTTTTCATTTTGACCTCCCATGCCTCCCCTTTATCTCTACACCTTCAAACTTCTGATGTGAATCTATTGTCACAACCATAGTTGGGCAGAACTGTCAAAAATGGAAGTAAGCCAGACATGGTGGTGTACGCTTGTAATACCAGCCACTCCATAGGCTGAGGCAGGAGGATCGTAAGTTCAAGCCAGCCTCAGCAAAAGAGGGTCTCAGTGAGATCCTGTCTCTAAATAAAATACAAAATAGGGCTGGGGTCGTGGCTCAGTGGTCAAGTGCCCCCGAGTTCAATCCCTGGTACCAAAAATAAAATAAATAATCCCCCCCAAAAAAATTGCACAAGTGACTAAAGTGAGTAAGAAGTTATTGGGTAAATGCAAACTAGAATCATGATGAAAATCTACTGTACATTCACCAGAATGGCTATGGCAATAAAAGATTGACAATACCAGTGGAGACTACTAGCAGAAATGTAAAATGGTAGTCACTTTGGAAAACAGTTTGACAATTTCTTAAAAAGTTATATGTACACTTACCATAATACTTAGATATTCCAATCTTAGCTGTCTATATGAGATAAATGAAATACGTATATCCAAGAAAGACATACACAAATGTTCATGGCAGCATTAGTCATAATAGCACCAAACCGGAAATAAGCAAGTCATGTTTTAACTGGTGAATGGATAGACTGACTCTAATATTTTCACACTATGCAATACTACTTAGTAATAAAATGGAAAGAACTATTGATACACGCAACGATATGGATGAACCTAAACATCGTTCTCTGCAAAGGGAGCCAGACACAAAAGATCACGTATGATTTTGTCTATATAAAATTTCCAAAATAGGCAGAAGTATAGAGACTGAATAATTTCCATGATTACTGGGATCTGGAGATGAGAGTGAGATTGGCTACTAATAGGCACAAGAAAATTTGGTGGGAATGGAAGTATTACAAAACTGGATGGTGGTAATGGTTTCTCAGCAGTTTTAATTTATTAAAACTTATGAAACTGTAGACTTAAAGTGGGTGAATTTTATGATATGTAAATTATACCTCAATTTAAAAATGAAAGAAGTAGATAACATCTTTAAAAAATATTTTTGGGGTATCTGCTATTTTTCTGAGATCTGCCTTCTTCCAGGTGTTTTTATTGATTTATGTGATAAGGCTAGTCATCATCAATACCTATAAAGAGAGAATGCTTTGAAACTCTCTGGAATATTGGAGAGGAAAAGAAATCATTTAGGAAATTCTACTTATATAAAGAAGCTCTTGTTTCTAGTGTTGGGTATTGGAAATTTGATTTGGCTCCTCTGGGTCTTAAACTTTCTTCCTGGGCTTTTCAGATTAAACCATTATATGAACATCTTCATGCTTATGTGAGAGCAAAATTGATGAATACCTACCCTTCCTATATCAGTCCAACTGGATGCCTTCCTGCTCATTTGCTTGGTAAGAAACCTCAGGAGTCTTTTGTGTTCTTTGTCAGTTATTTATTTCTACAAACAAAATTGTCTTTTGGAGTGAGATCCAACATAAAAGTTTTGAAAAATTCTGTACTTGTAGGAACATTATAGAGATCAAATTTTAAAGGCACTTTCTTTAACAGAAGGTTCAGTTTAAATCATTCTTTCTTACATTACTATTTTTATACATAATAATTATGTTGGCTATAATCCAAAGGATAAAGGAGTTATTTAAGATAAGTAGAAAAGAATTCCAGGTTAAAATGAGAGTGGAGGGGCTGGGATTGTGGCTCAGTGGGAGAGTGCTCGCCTAGCACACGTGGGGCCCTGGGTTCGGTCCTCAACACCACGTAAAAATAAATAAATAAAACAAACGTATTGTGTCCAACTACAATTTAAAAAATAATTTTTTAAAAAAATTAAAAAATAAAATGAGAGTAGAAATGAGGAAAATAATTTTCAGTATTCAATTTGGTTGAATTAACTTTTAGGTGAACTTTGGGATTTTTGTATTATATTGTCAGAGAAAGAAAATCTTGTTAGGCTAGAAATGGGAGGGGTGAGAGAAAGGCTTTCTGCAATTAAGGTATGTCCTGGAAAGCTTCATGAGTTCATTCCAGATAACACCATTTAGTCTTGATGCAAAGTACTGGGTTTGGACTCATATGAGTAATGAATGAAGAAGAGTGACCATCCTCTTCTCCACCCCAAGGAGCCAAGGCCGAATAAGATAGAAATATTTGAAAATTGCATGCCAGGCCTACATAACATCCCTTCTATAGTCAAGTCAAGTTTCTAGAAGTTAATTTTCCTCCACAGTGAAATCTCATAGCAGGAGAGAATATGGACAAAGGACCCATGGAGATTTTAACCCTAAAGTAATACAGAAATCTTTTCTACAATGTTCTTGACAATCATTATTCAGTAATTTAATATTTGATTAAATTCATTTGGTGTGATGGGGCTCTTTCTGCCTTCCAAAGTAGAATAACTTATTGCTACATGGCACCAGTTATAAGAAAGTTCTAACTTATATGGAATTGTATCAACAGTTCTCTAATGCCTTCCGTTAATCATTACTATTTCCATGCTATGAGTTTACCCAGAATATGTCAATTCTTATTTTACAAGATGACCTTCCAGATAGATGTAAACAACCACCATATAAGACACAGCATAGAGTATGTATTCAATACATTTTAATGGCTGTCATGTTATCGTCAATTATACACTGTTTCTTTTTTTCAAGTTAAATATCCTCCACAAATTTTCAACCATTCCTTAAAATTCCACTTCTATATTCATCCTCCTTTGGATGAGCTATACTTTGTACATCCCCCTCTTCAATTGGCATGCTCAGAATCAAACAGTTACTTCATATCAGATCTTATTGTTGATGTAGAAAAAAAATTAGTATGAGGACTATCTTTATTCTAGATACTCTATCAGTTTAACTGACAGTCTTATTTGTGTTTTAGAAGCCATCCCATAGTGCTTATTGGGTCTTTTACTGTGAAATGTGATTCATCATGATATCACATGTATATTTCTATGGTGAATAAGTTTTCCTTTAAAACTTTTATCTCTACTAATTTCTTTTTAAAAATAAAATAAAAATAAAGATGAATCCACAGGAGTACTCTTCATGTAGTTGTGTTGCCCCATATCTTTGGTGGCAGGATTCTGCTTGCTGTTAGATTGATGACATTTTTCTGGATCCATTTCCCCTTTTAGTGTCTCTGACCTTGGAATCCAGCCTCACATTGTTGAGGAAGCTTGAAAAGTCACCCACTATAGTAATAAAAATGAAATTTGGTTACTGCTTAAGAAGTTTTTGAATGGTGATCTTATATGATCTTATTTTAATCCAATACCAGGCATTATTGATAGTTTAATTTGTAGTATTTTGTCCCATGAATGATAGATTATAAAAATCTCTTTCTAATCTATAGTAACTATAATGTTCCATATATTTAATAAATTATGCATTTGAGTAATAGTTTCAGATAGGGGAAACTGGGATGATTCCCTAACAAGTTTTGCCTGACCACATAGTCTCCTGCCATTTTAGTCTTTTAGAGGAGGTAGAAGAAGAAAATGTTGCAAGTCTAAAATAGAGAAAGAAAAAAGTGAAAAACTGGTAGTGAAAGGGAAGCACAGAAACTATATTGTTTAGAACTAATATAATATATGGCTTACTTACAAATCTAACCTCATGCACTATGTAAAATCAGGTCTATATTTCTGCTATCGTTGTCATATATTAATGTATTCTTTTTTAACAACAGGTGATATGTGGGGTAGATTTTGGACAAATCTATACTCTTTGACAGTTCCCTTTCCAGAGAAACCAAATATAGATGTTACTGATGCAATGATAAACCAGGTAAGAAGAAGAAGCTTTAACTTCATTTCCTTTGATCTAAATTCTCTACTTCATTTCTTTTTATGCCATCCTTTCTGTTCTTATCTTTTGTATGTGAAATTTTATAACTCAAAAATTGAAACTAGTTTAAACTTATTTTATTATGTATCTATATTTTCATGGAAAAGTTGTTCATAATGTCACTGACCTCAAGTAGCTTAAATTACAGATATGGTATTGACCTTGTTGAGAGGTATGCAAAATGAAGATGACTTGAATTTTCCTCTAAGCAGTAAGATGTACAAATTACCAACTGCCTGACATCACTCATTCCAAAGTTAGTCATTGCTAAGTAATCAATCATCTCTATGAATAATAAAAAAGCCCAAGAATATAATTAGAATATTTTTGCATATTTAAAAATCATCATTAAAAAATATTACAACAATCCTTTAACTCATCCTTTTAGTTATTAGCATACATTAATTTTATAAATTAATGGGTTTCTCTGTGACATTTCCATATATTCATATACTATGCCTTGATTATGTCTACCCTCCCTGTGACTTCTCTTGCTTTCCCCCCTCCCTTCTCTCCCTGGTCCTCTACCTATTCCCCAATAGTCGCTCTTCTACTTTCAGGTCATCTTTTTTCCTTAGTTTCCATATATGAGAGAAAATATGGGATATGAGAGAAAACAAGTGGTACTTGTCTTCCTAAGTCTGGCTTTTCTTCTTAACATAATGATCTCCATTTCTACCCATTTTCCTGGAAATGACATGATTTCATTCTTCTTTATGGCTGAATCATAAGCCATTGTGTTACATACCATGTTTTCTTTATCCATTCACCTGTTGGTGTGCACCTAGGCTGGTTCCATAAGTTGGCTGTTGTAAATAGTGCCCCAATAACTATGGGCATTCAGGTATCTCTTCTATAAGCTAACTTCATTTCCTTCAGATATATATCTAGGAGTGGTCAAGGAGACAGATACATATAACTTTATTTGAACATTATACAATGTATACTTGTGTTGAAACATCATAAAACCCCAGAAATATGTAGTTTTTATGTATCAGTTAGAATTAATTCAAATTTTAAAAGAATGACATACTCATCAATACCAATTTCCTGATACTAAGCCTTTAAATGTGAATTTAAAAAAAAAAAAAAACAGAGTCTTATATTCTGTTTCTTATTCCCAGGTTTGACATAGGAGAAAAACTAAACTTGACTGTGTGTTTAAGATTGGAGGAAGTTATCTGTGTTATTAAAATGATTTATGAGCTGGTTGTTAGTTACCCACTTAGCCTGCCTGATGTGGGCCTTATCTCCTAAGCTAAGACTTGGTCATCTCCTGGGACATTAATCTCAAGAAGAGTTTGCTTTGTGGCAGATGTCTATGGCTCTCTCTCTGCAGTTCCAAAACATTTTGATGGTTGTTTCCACTTTTTTCCCTATTAAAAATACACTCAGCTGAGTGTGATGGCACATGCCTGTAATCCCAGCAGCTGGGGAGGCTGAGGCAGGAGGATCTCGAGTTCAAAGCCAGCCTCAGCAAAAGCTAGGCACTAAGCAACTCAGTGAGACCCTGTCTTCAAAATAGGGATTAGGTATGTGTCTCAGTAGTCCAGTGCCCCTGAGATCAATCCCTAGTACCCACCCCCGCAAAAATAAGTGCAATGTAAATTCTTTGATCTAATTTCCAAAGTTAGTTCTCGAGAGACATAATTACTGAAACAGGGTGTAGCCATTCTGGAAGCTGTTCATACATGTTGCCAAACTTCCTTTTAGAAAGATTATTGTCAATGTACATATCTAACAGAAAGGATGCTGTTCTTTTAATGCTGAAATTAAATACTGTTCTTTTTTTCCCCCTAGAACTGGAATGCGGTGAGGATCTTCAAAGAGGCTGAGAAGTTCTTTGTATCTGTTGGCCTTCCTAATATGACTCAAGGATTCTGGGAAAACTCCATGTTAACTGAGCCAACAGATGGCCGGAAAGTGGTCTGCCACCCTACAGCTTGGGATCTACAGAAGGGTGACTTCAGGTAGTTGGATTAATACTTATAGCCCAGATACTAAATGGAAAATGATGAAGGCAGAGATTCCTTCTTTGCTTTTCTGAGCACAGAAAATACTTTTAAATAACTCTTTGAACTAAGATCGGGAGTCCATGAGAGAACATCTGGGTTTTGAAGATTACCAGCAGGTGCTAACTTGAACTTTAGATGATCTGCCTTATTTGAAATATTATACCCCTATTAGAGTTGCATGGTCATGAGGATGGTGGTGCCCCCATTAGAGAAGTTTTGTGCTGAGATTTATGGAGAGGAGATGTCAATCAGATATTGATCTTTCCCTCTGTGTTTTGCTTTCGAAATAGGATGAGTGAATAACAAGCTAGGATAAAAAGGAGAAAGTGCTACGTGTCCTTAGAGGGACAGAGGGAATGCTTTATGGGGAACTGGGAGAGAACTTGCCACACCTGGAATAGGACAGAAGATCAAAGAGGGCTTTGTGGGCAGCATTGGAATTGGGTCTGGAAAGCAAGAAGGCTTTGGACAATTGGGAGGAGATCAGCAGGATTAGATGCAGAGAGGCAGGACCCAGGAGTGTATACCAGGGTCAACAAGTTAGGCAAGAATAACAAATATGTGAAGGGGAGTCTCTGTGATGTGGCAGGATGAGCACAGGCTTTGGAATCCTAGGTGTGTCACTTAATGACTAGGTAACCTTGGACAAGGAATTTAACCTTCTTAGATTTCAATCTCTTTATCTATGAAGCAGAATAGTAATCCAAGTTTGCTGGTTGTGAGTGTCTTAGGCTGGGTTTACCAGTTTGCAATGAAGATTCTTATACAAGTGCACCCAGGCAAAGGGGAGCAAGGGAAACAGGCTGGAACAGGGGAAGGAAGGAAGAAAGAATAAGATCTGTGGTGGAGACTTGGCCTCCGCCTGATCCTATGAACCTCTTCAGAGCCTAATTTGAACTAACATTGGTCATGCCTGAAGACAAGGAAGCTGGCCACTCGTACCCTCTATTAGTCAGTCTTTGGCTGTAGTCTGCCCCAAGTGTGGAAAGACATAACCTCCTGGTTGAGGCACCTCTCATTTAGCCAAACCAGTGAAGAAGAAAGCCATTTTGGGCCCTTATTAACACTGACTCAGACAGCTGGGGGAAGGTAATCTATCTAGTAGAGCAGACCTGGGAAGGGCCCAGGCCTACCAGTGCTCACTGGAGTAGGAACTGGCAGTCCTTTCCTGAAGAGGGCCAGATAGTAAAAAGTGTGGGCTTTGAAAGTCTCTATTGTAACTACTCAATTCTGCCTTTGTGGCATGAAAGCAGCCACAGGCTATCCATAAACAAATGGTCATGACTGAGTTGCAGTTAAATTTGATTTATAAAAACAGGTAGCAGGCTATGGAATACCAACCCCAATACTAGAGGGAGGCTTAAAAGTGAGAAAATACATGTAAGTTTCCTAGCACAGAATCTTACCTACAATAGACAATAAATATATAAGAGCTATTATAATTGTTAAAACAAGTCAAAACAGCAGATTGGAATAATATTGGGTGTATAAAGGAGGCCAAGTTAATTCTTGAGTATTGAAGAGTCCTTAAAGGGTATTTATGGGGGTAGTGTGACATGATCAGAGTAGTTGGAAAATTAATTTAGAAATCTACTGAAATATGACCCCTACACCCACCTGAATGAAAATGCTTTTGTCAAGTTGAAAAGAACCACAACCTAATTGCCAAATTCAGTCCTTATTTCATGGGGTCACAGCACCATTACAGTACTTACCAGTTGTCTTTTATTTTTTATTGTTTTAGTTTTGTTTGTTCCTGTTACCATAGAATAACCTAGCCTGATGGTTCTCAAAGTATGTTCCCTGGACTAGCAGTATCTGCTTCACTTGGGAATGTGCTAGAAATGCAAACTCTCAGGCTGTATCCTGGAATTACTGAAGAAACTCCAGGGTGGGGCTTAGTACTTTGAGTTTAAACAAATCTTCAAGGGATTCTCAAACACACTCAAGTTGAGAACCAGTGCCTGGCAGGTACGGACTGATACAGTCATCTCAAGAGTAGGAGGAATGAGAAGTCATGGAGAAAATCATTATAGTAAACTTTAAAAATCTGAGTAAGACATTAATTAGTGAGTCCGATGTCATTTTGAAGGGAGGGCACCTGGGATTGAACTCAGGGGCTCTTAGCCACAGAAGCACATCCTCAGCCCTTTTAAAATATTTTATTTGGAGACAGGGTTTGCTAAGTTGCTTAGTTCCTCACTAAGTTGCTGACGCTGGCTTTTGAACTATGATCCTCCTGCCTCAGCTTCCAGAACCCCTGGGATTGCAGGCATGCAACACCACACCCAGCCAATGGCATTTTTTTAATTGACCTCTGCACTGTCATCCTATTCCAGACTCCTTTGGCCTCTCTAATTACACTTTCTCCATCTTCCCTGAGGCTTCTCCCAAGGCTTTGGCTCTTCTTTCCATTCTATTCTTGCTGTATGAGCCATCAATCATATCCTCTCCATGAGTTACATATTAATGATCCTCAAGTCTCAATTTCCAACCCTTTCTACTGCTTCTCTATCTATACTGGCTATAGTGAAAGGCTTGTAGTATCCTGAATATCATTATCACTGAACACATCCAGGAATATCAGTCTCTGTGCCATCTACTTGGCAATCTCCTGCACATTGATTGAGGTAAAAATTGCTCATCATATTCTTAGTTATGCCCTCCTTGGTGCTTCTAGTAGACTATGCTATATTCATTCACTGTTATGCCCAAGGTCATGTCTATTGATAACTTATAGAGTATTTTCCTCAGAGTTTTGACAGCGAAGGGCTCTGGATGTCTCTGTTCTTATCAGTATGTGAGTGGGAGAACAGGAGTTAGCCCCACCCATCACTTCATATTGAGCAACTAGTATATAAGGACATAAGAGATACATACACAAAATTCAATGGTGAATAAATCTTGTACAGAATTCATGCTACCAAAACTTCATACAACTCTACTATAATGATTAAATGAAATTCAGTGACATTCATTTTACTCTTGCCTATTTTTATACAGAATCAAGATGTGCACAAAAGTGACAATGGACAACTTCCTGACAGCTCATCATGAGATGGGACACATCCAGTATGACATGGCATATGCCATGCAACCTTACCTGCTAAGAAATGGAGCTAATGAAGGGTTCCATGAAGCTGTTGGGGAAATCATGTCACTGTCTGCAAGTACACCTAAGCATCTGAAGTCCATTGGTCTTTTGCCATCTGATTTTCGTGAAGACAATGGTGTGTTTTTTTTTTCTTTGTTTGTTTTGGGGGCTCATTAGTGTGATGTGCACAAAAGTATTAACATGTCTAGGAAATATTTGCTTTTGCCACATAAAGTGTATTTGTGGGTAACTGGGAATCGCTACTGGTAAAAAAAAAAAAAAAAATTTTTTTTTTGAAGTATATATCAGAACATGCCAATATGTGGTTTTGTATTTTTGGACAAGGAATAAGAGAGGTAACTGATTGAATGATCTTATAACCCTAAAAATATCTACTAGAAACTCAGTGAGTTTTTAAAAATTTTTTTTAGTTGTTGATTGACCTTTATTATTTGTTTATATGTGGTGCTGAGAATCAAACCCAGTTCCTCACACATGCTAGGCAAACACTCTACCAACTGAGCCACAATCCCAGTCCCTCAGTGAGTTTTTTTAAAGATGCTGAAAGAGTCTCACAGAATTAAGAAATGGCTTGTCCCAGGCCATCCAGCTAATTAGTATCAGGCTTCTGAATATATGCTGTGATTCTAGGTAGAAACTTCTCACAATGTTAGCACTGGAATAGATTCTAAAAACTATTTTACAGAGGAGGAAACTGAAGAAATGAAAGGGAAAATACCTCAAGGTCAAAAAGCAATGCAGTGGACTGGGATTGTGGCTCAGTGGTAGAGTGCTTGCCTCGCATGTATGAGGCACTGGGTTCAACTCTCAGCACCACATACAAATAAATAACTAAAATAAATAAATGGATAAAGGTATTGTGTCCATCTATAACTAAAAAACTATTTTTTTAAAAGCAATGTAGTGGCAGATCCAGAGCCAGACCCCTAATATGAAGCCTTTCCCATAATAGTATGCAAAGTATAGCTTGAAATTTGGGAGTTCTTAAAGGATAGGGGATGGAATCAAAATTTGAAGGGCCTGAAACATTTTGTTCATCCAGTGGAAGCATACTTTTTCCTGCAACATCTGATGCTTAAAGAGTCAGACCCAGGTTATCTGTCAACATGTTTGCCTGAGGCAGCCCACTTGACCTGAGGCTGTCAGTTTCTCTGTGAATGTCTTGGACATGACTGAACACAACACATACTCAGGAGATCCAGATCCTTTAGAGACGACGCCATGGCTTTTGATTCTTCCTTGTAAAAGAAAGACAATAAGAGCCTATTACCTACTCTTCTTCCGTGTATTTTCCTCCATGAATTTTAACAGTTTATGAAACAACAATTAGCTCTGCTGGCTAGAATATTTGGTCAATGAGGTCAAGGTCATGAGCTCCATCCTTGTGTGGGCAATACACTTTGCCTTGATCTCTGCCTCCAGGTCCTTGGTGATCTCATGAGGACCTGGGAGTAGGCCAGTATAAAATTGTCATCATGAAAAACCCAGTGGAGTATTATGTAGAACAGTTGTGTCAGCATCCAATAAAGAAAGCAACAAAGGGAAGAAAGTTCATGGCAACTACGCCTGATTCCCAATTTTAAAATATCATTTGCTTAAGTCAATGAACACACAAATATGTGTTTTATCATTTAATATTCCTTGAAGGTAGGCAAAAATGATGGTATCACTATGTTTCTTAAGATAATGTCAGACATGGTTAAATTACTGGTTTAAAAAACTCTTGCTCCTTTTCTTAGCTCTGACCTTGATTTATGAATGATACTAAATAAATTCATTCATCCCTTCTCTCCTTGTAAAAGCATTTTAAATTCTTGGTAAGGAAGAATCAGAATATTTAGATTACACTGCATTTTTTGTATATCCAGTGGATGGTGCCCTCTACGAGGGCTCTATTTATTTATTTATGTATATTTTTATTACATTTATTTTAATATAAAGATTATACATATTAATGGAGTAACCTATGATGTTCCAATACACATAGGCATCATTTGATGTTTAAATTAGAGTAAACATATCTATGTTCTCAAACAGTTTTCATTTCTTTATAATGGAAACTTTCAAAAATCCTTTCTTCTAGCCTTTTTTTGTTTTTTTTTTTTCAGTGCTGGGGCCTCATGCCGGTCAGGCAAGTGCTCTACCACAGAGCTAACCCCAGCCCTCTTCTAGCCTATGAATTGTACAGTACATTGTTATCTATAGTCAATCTATTGTGCAACATCATGCTATTCCCCCCATTCCTGATTTACTAGCTTTTCACCACATGTTTAGTGTTTGCTTATTTACCAAGGACTCAAAGAGGGCATTATGTAGCAGACACTGGACAAGGAATACAGTGTAGAATGAGACATTAACAGTCACTGTCTTCATGGAGCTTTCAAGAACAAATAGTATGCCTGAGAAGGTAGATGAAATAGCCCTAATTATCTATGATAAGGAGTATTTAAGGAAGGTGACTGAAACTAATAAAAAAATAAGGATTAGGATTAACATGTGGATTTTTTTGGGTGGAAGGGTACTGGGGATTGAACTGAGGGGCACTCGACCACTAAGCCACATCCCCAGCCCTATTTTGTATTTTATTTAGAGACAGGGTCTCACTGAGTTGCTTAGCGCCTCACTGTTGCTAAGGCTGGCTTTGAACTCACAATCCTCCTGCCTTAGCCTTCCAAGCTGCTGGGATTACAGGCATGCGCCACTGCACCCAGCCAACATGTGGATTTTTATGTACCTGTTCTGTTCCAGGGCTTCACCCTGCTACAAATCCCTTAGCTGAGAAAATGAATATATACATATATTATTATGTCCACCATTAATATTGTTCATGTAATCATCCTTCTTTTTTTTTTTAAACATTTTATTTCTTAGTTATCAGCGGACACAACATCTTTGCTTGCATGTGGTGCTGGGGATCGAACCCGGGCCGCACGCATGCCAGGCAAGCGCGCTACCGCTTGAGCCACATCCCCAGCCCGTAATCATCCTTCTAGTAAATCTATTTTGAAGCCTCGTATCTTGAAATTAGGAGAGTTGTTTTTTTTTTTTTTTAAACACAAAACAGCCACTGTCATCTTCATCTCACTATTTGCCCTTTTCCATTTACTTTCAGAAACAGAAATAAACTTCCTGCTCAAACAAGCACTAACGATTGTTGGAACTCTACCTTTTACTTACATGTTGGAGAAGTGGAGGTGGATGGTCTTTAAGGGTGAAATTCCCAAAGATCAGTGGATGAAAAAGTGGTGGGAGATGAAGTAAGTTAATGAGTACACCATCAGTAAAATGTTATCTCATGAGTTTGTTGTTTATTTTAAAGCGTTTGACTGGCTTGTACACACACACACACACACACACACACACACACAACTGGTATCTGTATTTCATTGTCTTTGGGGCTTCCTTAAGCCATCAGAACCCACAAAGGGCAAGAGGGGCTAAGGAACTAATGCCATCCCCAACAGCCCTCAACCAATACCTTATGGGAGTTGATGGATAAATACCCCAGCTGCCCTGCTCTCAGGTGGGACTAGCCTTTGTGCTGAGTACTCTATAATGAATCCTAGGATTCTTCAGAGGGAATAAGTTACAATTACTTACAGTCATAACTTACTCAGTAACATCTTTTTTGGGTTGCTTTCATTTCCCTGTCTCACTTCCTCCCTCCTTTGCTGATGTTTCCAGGGATCACCTCCCAGGACCTTATCTAAAGAGTCTGTTTCTGAGAGAATCCAATCTAAAAGAACTAGGATCAGGGTTCTCAGACAATGTTTCATAGTCAAAACCACTAGAATTTGAAAAGGTGTATCTTGAAAGCTGGTGATTGGAGTTAAATATGTGAAAAAGAGAAAACTGTATTCAGTTTAGAGGAATGCCATCATACTACGCATGCGTGTATGTATTCTCTCTCTCTCTCTCTCTCTCTCTCTCACACACACACACACACACACACACACACACACACACACACGTTAACTGCCTCCTTTTAAGATTTTTCAGTCTCCATTTGGGTGCCATCTCCTCAGATAAAATCTCCTTGGCTCTGCCCCATATCTTGGGTCAGGTGACACTACTTCATGGTGTATATTCTTAAATATACAAAAAAAAAATTTGGATCACATTTTAAATTGTGATACCATTTAGGAAATGATCAATCTATTCACTTTTATGTATTCTGTGTCCATTCCTTTATTTTTATTTTATTTATTTAGTTTTGGTATCGGAGATTGAACCTAGGGGTGCTCAACCACTAAGCCACACCCCCAGCCCATTTTTATATTTTTATTTAGAGACAGGGTCTTGCTGAGTTGCTTAGTGCCTCACTAAGTTACGGAGGCTAACCCTGAACTTACAATCCTCCTGCCTCAGCCTTCCAAGCTGATGGGATTTCAGGCATGGGCCACCACACCCATCTCATTCTTTTAAATAAAAATGGTGACTTCACATTTTGAGCAAAGCACTGGATGGAGATCTACTGCTGATCATTTCAAATGTGGTCCTTGATCCCCTGCTCCAAACTTTTGGTCTAAGGTACAAACGTGCAAGATAAAACCACTGTGTGATTGTGTGAAGGAAAGGTACAGGGATCCATGAGTATTTAAGAGGAGATCTAAAGCCCTTGGGGGGCCAGATGAAGAGAGACATCCATGTTGAGTCGTGAGAAAGGTGTGGGAGTTAGCCGGGTGTGTGTGGAGAGAATTTCAAGCTTGAGAAAACCTGATACTGTATCCCAGATACCCTGCACTGTGTCAGGCACATGCAGCTATGAAACAATTATGAGAGAAATCCTTTTACCGTTGCATAGTAGTCAGAGCCCTGTCAATTAATTCTTGTTTTTCCTTTTTGAAGTGAAGATCTTATATGTGACATTCAGTCCCCCATGCACAAGTTTAAATTAGTACCATTCTTCCTTTAAGCTTTTCTATGTTAACATAAATCTTCCTTGGGAAGAAGGAGGCTGCACCTATATAACTGTGTTTCTAGTGTTTGAATATGACTGAAGCTGGCCATAAGGACCTCACAGTCATAAAGGACAAATGTATCCCTTTTGAAACAATGCCAAATATATAGTTTATCTTTTTTTTCTAATTGGACTGATTTTTTGATCCCTTAGTTATTTGTCATTTTTTTAATACTGAGGATTTAACCCACAGGTGCTTTCCCACTGAGCTACATTCCCAGTCTTTTTTATTCTTATTTTGAGACAGGGTTTCTCTAAGTTGCTTGGAGCCTCACTAAATTGCTGAGGCTGGCCTTGAACTTGTGATTCTCCCACCTCAGCCTCCTGAGCTGCTGGGTTTACGGGCATCCACCACTGTGCCTGGCAATGCCTCAGTTTATTTTAAAGGTACATGGAATCTGACCTTTAAAGTAATTTAGTGATTCCTTTAGTCATTCAACAAATAGGAATGAAGTTTTCCCTTAGAGTTAGGCACCATGTTTGGCACTAGAACTGTAAAGATGACCAAGGCACAGCCCCCATCCCCAAGGTGTCCAACTCTCCAGGACAAGGAGTTGTATGTTAATAACTATGACAGAGAGAAAGAAATGGCAAGGAGACACAGCTAGAGAAGGCTAAGGGAGACTGAAGGATCAATTGTGCTAGAAGGTGGGTGATATCAGGGCTGCTTACAGAAGAAGGTCCAGTAGAATTACACTTAAGGAAAAAAACCTAAGATTTCAATTTTATAAAATGAATATCTGCCAAAGGCACATAAACTATGGTGCCTGAGAGGAACTTCTAGGGCTTTCACTATATGTTTTTGGACAAGCAAAGCACTTTATGAATTTTCTTAAATTAGTGTTTTGAAGATACAGCTATTTTCCAATGGATATTTTGGTTAAATTAAAGCAATGAGAGATAACAACTCAAGGAACTTTACTTTTTCTGATATATCATTCTGTTTTCATTTCACCTGACAACCAATTTCAATGATCAATGCTATTGTCTACTGAAACTGCTGAAGTTGTGCCCAACTCTACCTTCTCACGTTGGTTGATCTACAACTAATGTATCTTTTCCTTTTCTTCCCAAAGGCGAGAGATAGTTGGGGTGATGGAGCCTGTGCCTCATGACGAAACATACTGTGACCCCGCAGCTCTATACCATGTTTCTAATGATTTCTCATTCATCCGGTAAATGACAATTTTCTTCTGTCTAACTTCGAGAATTTGTGGATAGCCATGCTATGACAGATACATAGGGCTCAATGAAGTGATAATTATGATTTTTCCTTCTCCACCTCCCACCCTTAAACTCAATATACATGATCAATTTCAATGCAGTTGAATCCAACATGATTTGTTGGCTTAAATAAAACTTGTGGGAGATCATTTTTCCGTCATCAAGGAATCAACAATACTATTGGGAAAAATGAAAAGTATTTTTGTTTGTCTTCTTTTTACTGGCAGAGTTCACCATGTATTGAAAGAGCATTTTAAACTTGAAGTCTAAATCATATGTTCTTCACCTATTATCCCTAGATCTTAGATTGGCTGGGCCTCAGTTTCTGTATTTGTAGATTGGCATCATTTATATGAAATTTATACTACAAATTTGTAAAACAGTACCAATGTGAGCAAACAATTAACAGATAATGATATCACCTTGTTTTTTGTGAATATTTTTATTAGTGCATTATAGTTAAACCTAATAGTGGGGCTTGTTTTGATATAATCATTACTGTCTTGTTTATCAACTAACACATAAAAATGCAGGTAGATTATGATGAATCTATAGAATTCATGTTTAGGTTTCCTAGAGAAAGAAGTTTGACTACTATCTCTTTAGTTACTTGGGCCCCAGAATTTACATATATGCCCCAATCTATGACTGTACCACAGTAACTAAACATGGAACGGACTTTTCTGTTTGTTTCTTTATCTCTTGCACAGATATTACACACGGACCATTTATCAATTCCAGTTTCAAGAAGCCCTTTGTCAAGCAGCTAAACATGAAGGCCCCCTCCACAAATGTGACATCTCAAATTCCACCGAAGCTGGGCAGAAGCTGCTGTAAGAAATGTCTCAAAATTTTGAACCTCTCTGGGCTGGGGTGGTGGCTCAGTGGTAGAGTGCTTTCCTCGCATGTGTGAGGCACTAGGTTCGATCCTCAGCACCACATAGAAATAAATAAATAAATGAATGTCTATCAACAACTTAAAAAAAATTCCAAAAAAAGTCAGCTTTAAAAAAAAAAATGCTGACCCTCTCCTAATGTCCAATGTTGCTTATTTCTGTGCCTGTTTTGAATTTGATTTCTTTGTTCTAAAAAAGAAATTTGGAACCTCAAAATTTCCTCATTCACAAAGTAAATGTTTAATTTGTGGTCAGACACAGGAACCCAGCCCATGAAATGGCTGGATGGGTCACCTCCTCTCTCCATGTCAGAACTATAGAGCTCTATTTGTTGTAATTGGAAGGAAAGAGAGATTGAAGGATGAATCCATCCATTAATATGCATCATTTTCTTATCTGCTGGGAGAAAATTTAGCTAAGTCAAAGAAAAGAAATTGTAGATCATAGATGTACATATGTGTACATATGGAATCCCTCAAGAGGTCCTGAACCCCCTCTGTTTTCATGTAGCAATATGCTGCGTCTTGGAAAGTCAAAACCCTGGACCTTAGCACTGGAAAATGTGGTAGGAGCAAGGAACATGGATGTAAGACCACTGCTCAACTACTTTGAACCATTGTTTGGCTGGCTGAAAGACCAGAACAGGAATTCTTTTGTTGGGTGGAACACCGACTGGAGCCCTTGTGAGTACACCGAGTTGACATGTTTGGCATTGCTCCCTGTCTGCCACCCTAGTCTCCTTTGGCCCCAGCCTTATGAGGGTGGTGACACAGCTGAATGCATGTTCCCTCTGTGTAGAACCTGCTTCTAACTGTGCTTCAAACTCTTTCAAGTGTTTTATTAGTCTCGTGTTTAAAATAAGAGTGTAACAATCTCCAAACCACTGCACTTGAATCTTCTCTTCAAAGACAAAAACTTTTAACACTATCACCTCCTCTTTCTGGCAGTTACTTTCATACATCTAAATTATATTATTATTTTCTTTTTTATTAATTAATTTATTCTAATTAGGTATATATTGTTATTTTCTAATCAGTTTTAGGCATCCACTTCTGCCTCCTTTTCCATTCTCATTTTCCCAGTGAAGCTTTATCATGATTTTTAGTAAAGCAGTTATCAGTGCTTTTATAATTTTGCCTACAGAGCCAAGTTATATATCATTTGGTATCCTTTCTCATGTGACTTGTTTGTTCTGGAATTTGTACTTGTCTCAATTTTTTTTTTCAGTATATCTAATTTACCACCTGCATGGTGTGTGTTTTCTCCGAGTTATTCCAACATATATGTTCTTTTCAGCCTCAGTTTCTCCCCCTGGACACTTTCCTCCTGGAGTCTTGAATCCTCCTATCTCACTCAGACCCCAGTTTTCCGCATGAGTCATCTTTTTGTTGTTCTCCTGGGGAGAACCCTCTGTTTCCTGAATCCCATGCCTTCTTTCTTGGATTATCTCTTGTTTTGTTGGTGCACAGGCTCCAGGTGACTGTCTGAGCAAAGGCTCATAGGGGTAAGAGGATCAACTGTTCCCCCAGTAGCTTAACCACACCCTGAGTCCATCGTCCTTGGTTTTAGCCCAGTATCCCCTTCCCACCCTCTGCTGTACCTGAACCAAAGCTTCCCTGGGATTCTCTGACTCTTTTGGGTCTGGACTCCCTCTGTGTACCCCTCAGGCCATGGCTTCCTGTCCTCTGAGAAAACAGCCGTCTCCCATCGTTTCTCATTTTCCAAAAGTGTGTTTATACCTTGTAAAAAATTCCTTTGTGGAACCTTGGGAGGGAAAGGAAGTAAACACATGTGGTCAATCTGTAACCAGGAGTCTGCAATTTCTTTTTAATCAGATACTGACCAAAGCATCAAAGTGAGGATAAGCCTAAAATCAGCTCTTGGAGAAGAAGCAGTGAGTATTCCAGACAGTGCATCCATTATTTTCCAGCACACTCTTTTTCCCTTAAATAGTACATAATCAGCCCAATCCAGTATGGTCTAAACAAAGAAATGCTGGCCAGGCCCAATGACACATGCCTGTAATCCCAGCGGCTCTGGAGGCTGAGACAGGAGGATTGCGAGTTAAAGCCAGCCTCAGCAAAGGTGAGGTGTTCAGCAACTCAGTAGACCCTGTCTCTAATAAAATACAAAATAGGGCTGGGGATGGGGCTCAGTGGTCGAGTGCCCCTGGGTTCAATTCCCAATACCCAAAAAGAAAAAAAAAAATGCTATAAGCCCCAGCTTCTGGCCTCCAGCTTTTTTACTTTCCCTACAACCAATTGGTCGTGCCTACTTATTACCTATTATCTTGAGTTTTTTCTGAAGCTCAACATGAAAATATCTGTACCAATCCTTAAACATCAATACCCATCCTTCCCATTAACTTCTCACCATTACTTGTATTTGAGGATGAGGACATGGTTATATTTCTAGAGGATGTCTCCTTTTAGAAGCAGTATCTTTATGGGGTTTTGTTTGTTTTGGATCAATCGGTCCATCTACAGCCTCTCTTTTTATTCAGAGTGGTCTATGGACCAACAGCATTCAAATCTGAAAGCTTGTTAAAAATGCAGACTCTCAGGCCCCAGCCCCAGACCTACTTAACCAGAATCTGCATTTTAACAAGCCCTCAAGATGATTTGTATGCACAGTAAAGTCTGGGGAGCTCTGATTTCGAACACTGCTTCTCAAGCTCCGCCACACATTGGAGCCACATGGAAAGTTTTCAAAATTATATATGGGCTCCATCCCCAAAAATTCTGCTTCAATTGCCCCAGGTGTGGTATCAAGAATTGGGCATTAAGGAATCTCACTATTATGTATAATTGTAATGCACCAATTAAAAAAAAGAAAAGAAACCTGCCAAGCCATGTGAAAAAACAAAACAACTCATACCAAACCAAAAGAGAGTTGGGCATTAAGAATTTTAAAAGCTCTCAGTGGGATTCTAAGTTCAGCAAAGCTCACTCTTATCACGTGCATTAGTTGAGTCAGCTGTTGCCTTCTGAACACCTGTCTTAAGTGAACCAGCCTAAGGAAGTACAGTAGCAGCTTTGATTGGGAAAGAGAGGACAGGAAATCTCAGGCAGATGGGGATCAAAGGCCTGGGTGGCAACCTGAAGGCTTTGCAGGTTTAGAAACCAACCTGGGGTTACTAGATAAAAAGTCCAAGGTACTACAGAAAATTGTCATCTCATCGTATAGATCCAAAGATGAAAAGTTAAATATTTTCCAAGACTCAAAAATGCTTTTTGTATAATTTTCATAGATAAGTTAGACATCAAAATATAAATAACAGGAGTGAAAAATGAATATTAAGAAAGTAATAACAAAAATAGAAGTTTTCTTCCCAAACTCTGAGTTCATGTTTCTATTTTTTAATAATCATTGAGTGTGATTTTTTTTCATCTTTGCCATACTTTATTAGCTTTCCCTTGGCCTAATAAGTTTTAATTACTCATGACAGATCAGAACTCTTTTCAATTGCCAGGCAGGGTGGCACACACCTCTAATCCCAGCAGCTTGGGAGGCTGAGGCAGGAGGATCACAAGTTCAAAGCCAGCCTCTGCAAGTTAGCCAGGCACTAAGCAACTTAGTAGGATCCTGTCTCAAAATATAATACAAAATAGGGTTGGGGATGTGGCTCAGTGGTTAAGCACCCCTGGGTTCAATCCCTAGTACCAAAATAAAATAAATAAATTGTATAAAAAACATTTTTTCTTGATATTTGTGCTCGTATTTTCTATGCAGTGAGGAATTGGCTAATAGTCTTCAGAAGTTTTGATGGTATAATGTTCTGAGACCAATTCACTAAGCAACAGTTGGCTTTGATGAGGTCAGGACTATAATCTTAATGCGCATACACATCAGGGCCAAAATATTTGCCCTGTTCAAGTAATTTTCTGGTGATTATCAACCAGATCTATGGCCTTATTTTTGAAAACTCAGACTTTTTAAAAAAATTTAAATATGGAAATAGTAACCAGAATATTATTTGTAACAATGTTAATACTATCATTATTACTATTAAAGAGACTCCCTTTTCCTCAAAGATTGATGAAAAACAAATTGAGGTGAATGTAATAATTTTTTATTTATTTTTTATTTTTTGTGAAATCATGTTTTGCCTGAAAGGGAAAGGAGAAACAAGTCTTGTGCTATTCACTGATCTCTACTGCCATCTACTGGAGGAAACAGTACATTTTTTTTCCTCTTTAAGCAGGTCTTCAAAGACTATGCATTTGCCATCCATTTGTTTAGAATCAGAAAAAAAGAACAGATTACCTTGCTGTTTATAACACTTTATTTTTTTCCCTTGAGCCCCCAGTTTCTTTCTTTTTATTTTCTCTTTATACATATCGAGAACTTACTATAAAAATAGTGAGAACTGCTGGGCGCTGTGGCACACGCCTGTAATCCCAGCAGCTCAAGAGGCTGAGGCAGGAGGATCTCGAATTCAAAGCCAGCCTCAACAAATCAGCGAGGCACTAAGCAACTTAGCGAAACCTTGCCTCAAATAAAATATAAAAAGGGGCTGGGGATGTTGCTTAGTGGTTAAGTGACCCTGGGTTCAATCCCCAGTACCTGCCCCCCAAAATATATATATATATAAAATCAGTTTATCTCCAAAATACAGACATTTTAAGTAAAACCCACAAATTGTGTTTGATCCCATTTAAAACTTATCCTCAGGATGCTCATTTCAGTTTAAATCAAACTAAATGAAAGGATTGTGATCCCAATTGTTCCTAAAGCATGGTTGCGTGGCCAGCAGCATTATCACCACCTGGAAGCTAATTAGAGATAAATTTGTGTTCTCATTCCAGATTTCTGTATCAGAAACTTTAAGGTTGCTTTAACCATCCAGTTGCTGCTGCTGTGTACTCACATTGGAGGTCACTGGCTTAATGAACAGCAAGAGTCCTTGGAATATTAAAAATAGTGCCTGAGGAATATTGAGCTTTAAATATGTCTTAGGATCCCTAATGAGCAGCGCCTGTCTTCTCATTTTGCAGTACCAATGGAATGACAATGAGATGTACTTGTTCCGGGCATCTGTGGCTTACGCCATGAGAATGTATTTTTCAGAAGTCAAAAACCAGACCATTCCTTTTAGGTGAGTTGATTTGCTGAGTTCTTAGGTTCTCCAACCAGCAATTCTCTTACTCTTGAGTCTTCAAGTGAAATTGAGAAAAACCTCCTGCTAACTTTTAAACTTCTTGGACATCCTGAAGTTTGGGTGACTCTATTTAGGGATAATTGTGGTTTATTTAACGTGTAGATAGCAAGAACATTGTTCTTATTAAGCAGCTCTTGTTCTTATTAAGCTCTCTTGTCCAAATGCTCTTACCTACCCTTAGCACTGAAAGAAAAAAAAAGAAATTTTCACTTTCATGGAGCTTATATTCTGGTTTGGGGTGGGGGGGGGCGGAGAGAGAAAGAGAGAAGGTAAGTGAAATATGATAGTTTTGCGAGAGACTTACATTCCCTGCTTAGCCAATTTGCTTCCATGGACAATAAAGGAACGGAATTCTAAATGAGTAGGATTTATTTAAGTGAGAAGAGATGTAACTCTTGAGATGCCAGAAGAGGCCAGATAGCAATAAAACCCATGCTGGAGTGCTAGCTTAAGGGCTCATATAGTTTGAGCATGGATCAAAATCTATGTTAAACGGGCACTGAAAACTTCACCAAGGCTATTGGCTGTGTCCTTGAGCCTGAGTTTTAATCCTTCCCTAATTCCTATTTGGGTTCACTCCCACCATTGATGTTTACCCCCCTCTCAGGTAGGAAGAAATGTTCCTGCTGGAAAGCCTCAAGGTCTTTTACTTTTGAAATAGGCTTTGATGGTGGCAGTAAATATTTCTGAGGATTAGCCTGGGGCGTGGTCTCTGCCTTGGAATAAGACCTTAATTGAGGCCCATTGCCTGACCCTTATCTATTCACAATAAGTGCTGGGGAGAAAGACACAATAGGAAAAAGATTAGGGAGTGCTGGGGAGTGGAGGAGCAGTTCAATTTTAACCCAAATGGTCAGGAAAAAAAAAAAAAAAAACTTCACTAATATTTGAGCAAATATGTGAAGCGGCAGAGAGAGTACCATGGGAGAAAATGTATCTGCTGGGGGCCACAGCAGGCACAGACTCTGAGGAAGACTGTCCTTGGCTTGTTGAAGGACCAGCAAGAAGGCCAGTATAGATGGAGTGGTATTTACTAGTAGGAGATTTGGGCATGGAGGGCTGGAATGGGTAAAGAAAGTTCTTCTGGGCCTTGAAGGCCATTCTACAGACTTTGGCTCTTATTCTGAGAGAGATAGGTATTGATTCAAGGACTAGAGCCACATGATCCATCTTAGTTTTTACTAGTATCACTCTGGCAGCTATGACAGCACAATCTTGTCACATTGTATGCTAAACCTTACTTTTTCCCTTCACCCATGAGTGTAACACCATGTTTTTTGCTGGGTGTGGTTGGGTGAGGGAATATTAACACACCATTTTTTTCCCTGATATACTGAGCCATCTTTGCCTACCAAATTTTTTATCACAGTCCCAAGCTATCAATGATTTCTTGCTGATTCTCTTCAGTCTTTCAGTTGGAAATCTATCATTGAAAAAAATATGGATTTTTTTATGATAGAGGAAAGAGTGCCAAAATGTGACATATTTATTATTATTATTGCCAAATTTGCTCACTTTGCCTTTACAACACTTATATAGTTGATTTCATGTGTTTGGAGCATTGGTAAAGTTTTTTGGATCTTATCTCCTGTCATTGTTCCCTCTGCTCTGTGTCTGGCTAACTTAGTTTTACCAGGGGGGAATGTCATTCTTTTTATTGTGTCCTCTGAGCCCAAAGGGAAGATGTTGCTTTTGTTTCTCCACAGAGAGGAGGATGTATGGGTGAGTGATTTGAAACCAAGAATTTCCTTCAACTTCTTTGTCACTGCACCTCAAAATGTGTCTGACATTATCCCTAGAACTGATGTTGAAAAGGCTATCAGGTAAGATTTTACTTTCAAATAATCCATGTAAAGGGTGAAGGAGTTAACAAATGCAACAATAGCTAATATTTAGGGCCAGGCATTGTTGTGAATCATTCACATGTTTTGCCTCATCCCATGAATTTGGGTTTTAATTCTAGAAGAATCCAATAGCAGAGAAGGTAATAGGGAGGGTAAACATGATCAAAGTACATTATATGCATGTATGAAATGTCACAAAGAACTTATATTTTGTACAATTAACATGCACTAAAATTTATAATGAAATGGTGTAAAGATGAAAAATAATCTAATGGCAAGAGAATTCTCTTGATTTAGAATCCCCCAGAGGCAGGCCCTTAGGCAAGGATTTAACTATAAGTAGTTTATTTGGGAGGCCATTTCAAGAAGCACTGATAAGAAAATGTGGACAGGCTATGGAGAAGGGAGGGAAGACAGTAGATTACACTTTATCACCACCATTGTCACGTAGAGCTTAATACTTCCTTGTGGGCAACTCTGGGAGAATGTGGGGAATGTGCACCTGACTTGTCCCATCAGAGAGTTGAGGGAGCTCGGTCATCATCCATTCACCACCACTCACCAGTCATGGGCTGGGAACTGCTTCAAGGTGACATTAATTCCCCAGCAGTGCTCACAGGCAAAGGGAAGTAGGTGTTGGCTGAAGGAAGTCTAACCAGCATGCATGGAAAATGCAGAAAGGACATGGACAGGTATTACCATCAGTTGCTAGAGGGACACTGACGGAGGATTCATTTGACTGCCCAAAGCCTGCAACAAGTTGACAAACATAGGATTCCTTGGACATTGGTTGTCCATATTGGGAGAGGGACTTAGTATGGGCAATGAAGGCTTAGAAGAAATGGTTTGCTCTATTTGCCTCAGTTCTTTCCCACAAGACAGCAGAAGTCATGGATGCATTGATATCATATATGGTTCTCCTTTTCACACACAAAAAAAGGCTTAATATAGCCACTGCTACTAGGGAGCTCAGTAGGTGGCCCTCTTGAGCTGCATCAGTGATGTTAATTGTCTGAAAGCAGATCTAAGACCAGATGGGCAGAATGTGCCTAGAAAATCTGGCTGGGTTGAGGTGTATGACTCAACCACACCCAAAGATTCAGTCACTGCTTCAGAAGTCTTGTCTCCAAAAACCAGTAGAAGTATTGGCTGAGATCTTTGTAAAAGAGATTAGCCTTCTTGGAGTCCCAGTCACCTACCAGTACACCTSAAACTTTCTGATTCCAGAATGGCTTGAGATATGAACCCCCAAAGTTGCCAGGGGTTACATGGCTAATTCTGCTTTGGCCTCTTTCTCTCTCTGGTGTGTTCAGACCTCCTAATCTGGGATATACCCAAGGATAGGAGGATGTGATACTAGACACTTCAGTCTTTGATCCAGAATGTTCTCCATTTCAACTGTTTTTGTTTTAAAAGATCTTTATCCTTTTTTCTCCATAAAATTTAGCCATATCCCATCCCAGTGCTAGAGAAATTGGCCAAGGTCTCTTTCCTGTGTTGCTCCTCAATGCTGGAAATTCTACTGTAGAAACTTGGGTGTAGGATGTGATTTATTTATACAAGAGAGATATCAAATTATCCTTTTCCATTATTTGATATCAAGTCACAGCAGATATACTCTGGCAGACAGGAAATTATTACCAAATTTGCTCACTTTGCCTTTAAAGCACAGCAGTCACAAATGCACAAATACCAACCATTTGCACATTTCCATATTTGCAATTCAGTTTTTCAGTGAAGCTGTTGGCAAATCTAATTTAGGTTCCAGATATCAAAGATACATAACTGTCAAAAAAATTCGTGTCTTTCATTAGACCTGATCGCCTAATTTCATTACTTTAGATGTATATTCTTATGATATACAAATTAAATTCTTTTCGGAACAATGATATAAAGAGTAAATAACTAAACACAATTTTATTTTGCCTAATTGTCCCCTTTACTGTTTCACTTTGGGGAAATAGAATGTCCCGGGGCCGCATCAATGGAGTGTTCCGCCTGGATGATAACACCCTGGAATTCCTGGGGATTCAGCCAACACTTGGACCTCCTTACCAGCCACCTGTCACCATATGGCTGATTGTTTTTGGAGTTGTGATGGGATTGATAGTGGTTGGCATTGTCATCCTCATCTTCACTGGGATCAGAGATCGAAGAAGGTAAGTGTGCTTTCCTAGACCTATCTTCCAACAGGAAGATTTAGGGAATACTAATTGGAAAACTTCCAGTAAGTGGCAGGTTATATAGTTCATTTACTTAATTGGACAATTTTGCCCCCAAACATTCTGAGGCATTCTCTAGAAATTTACTAGCACTCACCTTCCTAGCAAGCCACATCTCCATATCATCTTAATTCATGGTCGGGTACTCTCAAATTTGTTCTTGAGTTGAAGATCAAAATTCACCGAGGATTTAAATCATTAAAGATCTGATTTATTGGGCTGGGGATGTGGCTCAAGCGGTAGCGCGCTCGCCTGGCATGCGTGCGACCCGGGTTCGATCCTCAGCACCACATACCAACAAAGATGTTGTGTCCGCCAAAAACTAAAAAATAAATATTAAAAAAAAAAGATCTGATTTATTTATTTACTTACTTATTTTTTTTTTTCCTTTTGATACCAGGGATTGAACCCAGGGACACTTAACCATTGAGACACATCCCCAGCCTTTTTTATTTTTTATATTGAGACAGGGTTTTGCTCAGTTGCTGAGGTTGGCTTTGAACTTGTGATCCTCCTGCCTCAGCCTCCCAAGCCGCTGAGATTACAGGCATGTGCCACCATGCCTGGCTAGAGATTGGATTTCTAGTCTTACTTGACACTAGTTTTTTTCTGCTAACTTTAAGAAATAAGTTTCACTGGGCTTATGAAATAGGTTAATAATATTTTATAACATCTATACAAAACTATGCACACTTCAAATAGAACATGTTCTTGATTGAACCTCTGCATATATTAATTTATTTCACTTAATATTCTTCACTATAATTTTTAGTTCTCCAAAGTAGCTTCATTTTTAAAATCAGACATTGACTAGGTAGTACATTTCATATTTAGTTAAAATTGTTAAAAATGCAAAAGAATACAGAATCTTTGTCATCCTTTGCCTTTAAGTTCCCCTCTTAAAGTTAACCAAAATGATCAGTTTCTTGGTGATATATAGCTATATATACTTTTTTTAGTGTATGCAAATTATGTATAATATTCTGCATTTTTAATTTCCCACTCAATATGTTTTAGTGATCTTTCCATATCACTTGTACAAAGAGATTTCCATCTTTTTTTTAGGGCAATGTGGTTTCCCATTTTATGGATAGATCATAATTTTGTTACCTAAGTCCTCTACTGGTAGACTTTTAATAAAAAGGTGCAATGGCTTAATGCAGTCAGGTTCTTGTGTGTGCCAATATAGGTGCAAGGTAAGTCCTAGAAGTGGGAGAGCTGGGTCAAAGTCAGTGTTCACTTCTAATTTTGATAAATATCACCAAATTGCTCTCCATAGTGGCTGAATCGGTGTATATTTGTATCATCAATTTATGAAATTTCTTTTTTCCCCCAGCTCGCGTCCTTAGACATGATACCATCAAGCCATTTGATCTTCATCAGTCTGATCAATGAAAAGTTTCCTTCTAACATCCATTTTATTTAACAGGAAAAATCAAACAAAACGAGAAGAAAATCCTTACGCCGAATCCTCCATGGAAATGGGTAAAGGAGAAAATAATCCAGGATATCAAAACATTGATGATGTTCAGACTTCATTTTAGAAAAATATTTTTCCTCTTAAGGTGATTTTATTGTATGTGCATGTTAATTTCATGGTACCAAAAGTATGAGATTATAATAATGCTATTAAATATCAAAACTATGACTCTGTTCAGGAACAAGTGCCCAAAGATATCGTGATTGATCAGTGGGCATCTTCCCTGACCTTGCTGTCAGTATTTATATTTGTCTCTAAACTTGACTTCTCTTCTGATTTCTGATAGGAAGGCTGATGTTAGAGTAAAATAGGGAGAGTATGCCTTTGGCCTCACAGGCTAGCTAGAGACGATGGAAATGGAAACATCTGTTGAGTAATCAGAGTTGGGAAAAAGAAGACTATCATGATAGAGAGTGTTGGACCTTGTATGGAATCTGTGCTGTGAGCTGCTGGGGCTGCCAGATTGAGAATGCTACACACTGTTCACTTTAATCCAAGTGCCAGAGATAAAGAATGGCACATTTTCTTTACATTAACTTAATCCAAATACTGCAGTAATTTTCTCAGAGTGATGTTTAGAATGGACCATGCCTTCTTCAGGGTGGCATGTCTAACAAGGAAAGGAGAAGTCAGAGAATAGTAGAGAATATTATTTTTTCACTTTCAAGCTACTTGATCAACATCTCCCTGACAACACAAAACTAGCACAAGGGCCTCCATGAACCTCCAGAGAATGTCTGATAGAAACTTGCTTCCTTTGTTCTTTAACTGTAGAGTGAGTGGAAACTCCAACTGAGTGTTCATCCTCTGAAGTGGATACCCAGTCTCTTAAATTTTTTGTATACCCACTGTATCTGAGAAGTGCTGAGCACAAAACAGACACGCAATAAATACTTATTAGATATATACACTCTTGTAGTCTTATGTGTTCTTATATACTGGGATTTCTGTCCGTTCTATCTGCTTTTCATTTCTGTGGACAAAATTGTCATCTTACTGTCCGAGACCTTTGACTTCCCAAATGTGTTGGAAGATATCCTAATTCTCAAATTGCTTTATTGGACAAAGAAATTGTAAAATCAGGTCAAAAAGAGTTGTATTTATTTTGTATTATACTGTCAGGTTAGGAAGCAAACCTAGTGTTACTTTTATATTTCTTAGAGTATCCAGCCCAGTTCTGAGCACAGCATCTACTACCTACTTGATGATTGTAAAACTAGATTAAATAGATTAACATATAAAAAGTTTACCCATTGAGCACATATATATGGTAACCAGCATAATGTCAGAGTAACTCATGCTTAATAAATTTGATGTGATAATGGTAATGGCAGATCAATTCCCCGAGTCAGGAGAGAATGACTTTCAAAATCCTCTATAAAATTGCTTCAAGATAGCTAAATCAGGCCGAGTCATTTGAAGCTCTTCAATATCTTTTTAATTATACTCAGGTAGCAAAACTGGAACTCTTTATTTTAGCATGAAACCCATGTCTGTCTTTATCACCTTCGACCTCACTTTCACGTCATTCCTTGGGCCCACAGCTTGGGATAACTTACAACAACATCTCCTTATTTACATACCCATTTCATTGGCATCCTTGTATCTTGAGTATGTCCTATCTTCTCTAATACATCATGACAATCTTTTGCCAAGCTTCTTGTTATCTAAATTGCCACATTCTCTTTATGAAGTTCTCAGTCCTTGTTTTGGTTCAACTCAGTGCAAAAATAACCTCTACAGGAACCAACTTCATCACCTAACACCTTCAAAAGAGTCTCCCCAGCCAATGGAAAGGATCTATGGGTACATGACATAATGTTCAGCTGTAACTCAGAATTTAGAAAAACCTGCTCATTTCCCTACTTGATTTTGGGGTTTTCACCAGTGCCGTTCTCACTTTGCCCCCCAGGTGAAGCTTTGTGGTCCTTTGCCTGTGCAATAGATCCTCTAAGAGGATGGAGACTCTACAAAGAGGGTCTTACACTGAGCCTAGGATGTGAATTGGCAAAATGTGACCTGTGGGCCAAATCCCACCCATCATCTGCCTTCCTATGGCCAGAGTTAGGAATGACTTTTGTATTTTTGAATGGCTGCAGGAAGAGTAGAATGATATTTCATGACACATAAAAATGATAGGCAATTCATATTTCATTGTCCATAAATGAGGTTTTATTGGAATCCAATTACATCCATTCATTTTCATATTGTCTAGGGTTACTTTCTTTTTTTTTTTTTAAATCTTTTTTTTTTTTTAATATTTATTAGTTCTCGGTGGACACAACATCTTTGTTGGTATGTGGTGCTGAGGATCGAACCCAGGTCGCAGGCATGCCAGGCGAGCGCGCTACAGCTTGAGCCACATCCCCAGCCCCGTCTAGGGTTACTTTCATGCTACAAAGCAGAGTTGGGTAGTTGACTCGGAGATGGTACAGTTCACAAAGCCTTGTTTATTTTTTTTTGGGGGGGGGGTACTGAGGATTGGACCTAGGGCTGTTTTACCACTGAGCCATATTCTCAGCCCTTTAAAAAAAAAAAATTTTTTTTTTTTGAGACAGGATCTCTCTAAATTGCTAAGCCCTCACTAAACTACTGAGGCTGGTCTGAAACTTGTGATCCTCCTGCCTCAGCCTCCTGAGTTGCTGGGATTACAGGAATGCACCACCTTGCCCATCTCACAGGGCCTTTTCCAGGCAAACTTTGCTGACTAAGGAAGCAAGGGTTAAATGAAATTATGAATGTGAACAAGCCATCATGGAGTTCAGAGACAGAAGGAACATCTGTTTATAGAATCAGAAGACATTCACTAAGTGTTTACTTCCTAGGAATTTAATTATTTTTTATGGGATGGGGTTGGTAGAAAAGTAATCAAAGCAAAAAGGGCAGATGCTACCTTCCTCTCCCCTGATGTCTGTCAATGAATTATTCTCCCTCATTTGAAAGTCATGCTTTCCCCATTAAGTAAAGATGGGGCCTTAGGTCCAATCTCTCCTCATTCACTTAAGAGTCAGAGTCAGAATCAAAATTGAGAAACTCAAATTTATAAGTCTACTATGTTAGAATCTTTCTCTTAATTCAAGCAGATATGATATGGATTTTGCTAGACTCTCTTGACTTTGCATTTCACTTTTAGCAGATCAGAAATAGCTCAGCAAGACTTTTGGACTTCATCTAGAAAATCTCTTCTCTGAAGTTGCTCTCTGGCTTGCCCTTTGGGAAAGTTTCTTAACAAAGAAGTCTGTGCCTTTTTCTTTACTCCCCTGAGAATGTGGGCAGACTTCTGTTTAAAATTATAACCATGAATGCTGCATATCATCACAAAACACAATTAAACCACATTTTAAAAGTCATTATGCATTTTTTAAATATATGAAGTTTTTTTGTTTTTTGTTTGTTTGTTTGTTTTTTGGGGTTTTGGGGGGTTTTTTTGTTTTATTGTTTGTTTGTTTTGCTCCTCTTGGACTTATTTTCTGGTAAGCCTCTAGTGGTACCTTAAATTCTTGCTTGACTTGGTTTCAGGAGTCAGGTTTCTAAGCAAAGCTTTATTCTCTTTTCATAGTAAACAATTCTGTATTGTTTGAATTTTGCAACAAGCATGTACTACTTTTGTTATAAAGCAGATTATTTTTTAAAAGATCAAATAGACAAAAATAAGGACAATAAAGGAAAACAATCAAGAGGGAGACCAAAAACAAAGATTAACGGTCTGTGATGCAGGTTCCCACTGGTCTGCAGGCTCATAGAGAAGGAAGGATTGTGTCACTTGTTCCTTCTCTTCCTGTGGGTAGGAAAGAATGGGGCACACAGCAATTACAAAATAAAAGAATTAATGAATGAATGTATAAATGACATGGTGATTATTTTTAAAGTACATTTCATTATATATTGAGATTTGTGTACCTCTATTCAAAATAGATGATGATCAAATGTTAATTTTCTTTTTGGGGGGGATTGAGCTCAGGGGCACTCAACCACTGAGCCACATCCCCAGCCCTATTTTGTATTTTATTAGAGACAGGGTCTCACTGTGTTGCTAAGCACCTCGCTAAATTGCTGAGGCTGAACTCGTGATCCTCCTGCCTCCACCTCCTGAGCCACTGGGATTACAGGCATGCACCTGGCCTTAATTTTCTTTTTTTAAAAAAAATTTTTATTCACTGATAGACAGCATGCCTTTATTTTATTTGTTTATTTTTATGTGGTGCTGAGGATTGAACGCAATGCCTCACACATGCTAGGCAAGCACTCTACCACTGAGCCCCAGCCCCAGCCTCAAATGTAAATTTTCTGTTGAAATAAAGGAATCATTAATTAAATGTCAATAAATGAATAAGTAAGAGAGAACATTTGAGCTATCTGGTGGGTGAGGGAGTAAACAGGATGTCTCTTAAGGGAGAGTATTAATTTTTATCTGAAAAATAACAGTAGGGTTTAATTGGAGTTTTTTGCTTTTTTAAATAGTGCCCCGTATAGCATTTCTTTCTCCCTTCTTGATAATACAGAAAAGACAATGAAATATTCCAAAAGATACTAAAAAAAAAAAACCTAGAGCTGGGGTTGTGACTCAGTGATGGAGAACTTACCTGATATGTGTAAGGCACTGGGTTTGATTCTCAGCACTGCATATAAATAAATGAATAAAATAAAGGTCCTTAAATAAGTAAAAAAAAATAACAAAAACAACCCTAATGGAGTCAGCAGCAGATTGCAAAGTAGGACACTCCCATAAACATTCTAAAATTAAGAAATACCCTTTATAATAGCCTTATATTTTAGCTTCTTGAAGCTAAAATAGTACTTCTGCATCTTTGTGTTAAGATCCAAGACTGAAATTGAAACTTCAGCTGTCAAACAAGCCAAAAGCCCCAAAGCTCCAAATTCAAGAATGTAAAATGATTCAAAAACATCCATTTTAGAAAAAGACCCTGGTTTCACTGAGTTGTGATTGATCATAGTCAAGGTTAAGGCTAAGGTTAAGGAAAAAGATATCAAATTGTACCTTAGCATCTTTTAAAATTTGCTCTATGTGAAACACGTTTAATATATTGTTGAATAATATTATTTAACTTTAGTTTTATATATGTATACATGAGGTAAACAATCGGTATTCTAATCTGGATATCAGATGATAGTTGTACCATTTGGATTGAATCATGGACCACAAAACAATGCCCCACCACAAAATGAGGTGCACTCGGGTAATTCAAATGACAGCATTAGCAATGTCTGGGAGCTTGTGAAAACATACAGATTTACAGGCTGCACTCGGGCCTGCTCTATCCGAATCTCTGGGGCTGTTCCTAGAAATCTGTGTTTAATAAACTCTCCATTTAAAAATTTAATTTAATTCTCATGCATGCTAAAGTTTGAGACCACTGACTTACAAAGGCAAATGTCCACATTTCTGCACCTGATAGTATATTTAATTATCATAATGACAACAGAAAGAAAAGAACAAGTATCTAACAAATAATTTTTCAATTCTACCCAATCCTGACACATGCTACACACTCTCTCCATATTGCAATATGAAAATGTACTTCTGCTACAGACTGGGAAGTGTTACAATAAAAGCAGCATAAAGGAAATTACTAATTTGACCTACATTTCAAGGAAATTTTTTATTTCCTATCTTATTCATTTCTAGATAATATGAACAGACAAACAGCATGCAGAATGCTATTAAGAACTAGCTAAATTACATTGGGACTTGCTACTTTTCTTCTGTTCAATATTTTTTAGTTGTAGATGGACACAATATCTTTGTTTTATTTATTCATTTTATATGGTGCTGAGGATCTAACCCAGTGCCTCACACATGCTAGGCAAGCGCTCTACCACTGAGCCCCAGTCCCAGTCCTGCTAATTTCCTTTTAAAGAATGAAAATGTTGGCCAATATTTACATTCATTCTCATCAGCACTTCTAATTTCTTCTTCAAGGCTTGTCTTTTTCCCGAAGTGGTTCGATGGAAGATAGGAGTTGCTGAAATGTGGGTCGCTTTTCTGGAAGCTAAATTAAAGAAATATCCAGTGTTTTAGATAGTGAAAGTTATAATTAAAAATTTTTAAAAATCAAATATTTATACTTAAGTCCTAAAGCTAATAACTTTTGAAATGTGAAAGCCATAGATATTTCTGGTAAGGAACAAGGCAAGGGGCCTGCTATATCCATCACTCTGAACATCATGTTGAAGATATTAGAATGTGAAAACACTTAAAGGCCTATAATCCCAATGGCTCAGGAGGCTGAGGCAGGAGAATTGCAAGTTCAAAGTCAGCCTCAGCAACTTAATAAGGCCCTAAGCAATTCAGGGACACCCTGTCTCTAAATAAAATGTAAAAAAGAGCTGGGGATGTAGCTTTGTGGTTGAATACCCCTGGTTCAATCCCTAGTTAAAAAAAAAAAAAACTACAGCCTCATAAATTGAAAAAGGAAAATTATTATTTTTCGCATAGACATAATTGTGTGCCTGGAAAACCCAAGAGGATCAATGATAGAACCAACTCAAGTGATAAAGGAATGTACCAGGAGAGCAGGATATAAAATTAAGATACAAAATCAATAACCTTCACATATACCTACAATGACCAGTTAAAAGATATCACAGAAAACTCTATTTCTTTTTTTTAAAATATTTTGTTTTAGTTGTAGTTGGACACAATACCTTTATTTTTTATTTACTTATTTTTATGTGGTGCTGAGGATCAAACCCAGCACTTCACACATGCTAGGTGAGCACTCTACTGCTGAGCCCCAACCCCAGCCCCTGAGAAAACTCGATTTCTAATAGCAACATCATCAAAATGAAATACTTAAAAATGTACTTCCCCTCCCCAATGAGGAAAGCTTTAAAACACTGCTGAAAAATACATACGTTCTAGAATGAGTCATGTCGGTATTATAAAGATGTCAAGTTTCTCAAATGAAATACAGTCTCCTAACAAATATGAAAGAGTTTGTTTCAAGCTAAACAAATTGATTCTTTGGTTCATAGATTGTTAAAATATGCAAAATGGCTAGGGAACTATAGAAAAAGGTGATTAATGTGGGGAGGGGTGGTGTGTTAGCCTACTCAGTATTAAAACATTGTCCAGTCTCTAGATATTTAAAACAATGTGGTGCTACCACATGAATGAGAGAACAAAGAACAGAAGAGGAAGTCCTGAAATAAATCCAAATATATATATGTAAATTTAGAGTAACATTAGGGTGGCATTTCACTACAATTAAGATGGTATCTCATCTCTGGAGATAAGATGGTCTTTTGATAAATAGTGCTTCCCATAACTGAATAAACATTTAAAACAATCCACTTGGAGCCATACTTCATACTGTATAGCATAACAAACACAAACTAGATCAGAGACTTAAATAAAAAATAATGAAAAGTATTAGAGGAAAATCTGAGCGAATTCCATTATAATTTGGGTGTGGGAGAGGCTATATGACTATGACTTAATTTCCAGAAGCAATAAAAGCAAATATTGATATATTCAGCTATATTTAAAAAGATGTTTGCATGGCCAAAACAAACAAACAAAAACACTTAAATCAAAATATAGCTGAAAAACTGAGAGGAAATATTTGAAAATACAGCTTATATCTCAGACAAAAATTAATATGCCTGATATATAAAGAAATTATTAACACCTGATAGAAAAAAAAAGGGAATTATAGGTCTCAGAAAGATATATAAATGAGGGTCTGGGGATAAGGCTCAAGTAGTAGCGCGCTCGCCTGGCATGTGTGAGGTGCTGGGTTCAATCCTCAGCACCACATAAAAATAAAATAAAGATATTGTGTCCACCTAAAGCTAAAAAAATAAATTTAAAAAAGAAAGATATAAAAATGACCCTTAAATATAAGAAAAGAGGCTCAACCTCATTCATAATTAAAGATATACATATTAAAGCTATACTAAAATGCCATTTTTCATCATCAGATTAACAAAAATTTGAAAGCTGATAACGATCTCCATTGGTGACAGAAACAGATATTCACCTCCATTGCTAGCAGGGCAACCCCTGTGAAGAATAATGCATATGCTACTTCTTTGTAAGAAAAAAAGAGAAACATACAGCCATTTTTTGCACAAGGAATTCCCAGAAGGATAAATCAGAATCTAATGAAATATTTGAATGTTCTTTAATCTTTTTATGATTTGAAAGTTGCAAAGTAAAATATTTAAAAAGAGGGGGAACCCAAATCTCTAAACTCTACTCACCATATGCAGAATCTTTAACTGGGTATTGTCTCTGTGCAATCCTCTTCATAGATTCTGTCATAACTCATAGTTTCATGGACCAACCATGAGAAGCAGGCAGTTCCTCCCTATTTAGGGCCCCTGTCTATCTGATGGGCCAGTCATATTCCCAGGAGCTAGAGTTGGGAGGCCCAGGAGGTGCCCAACTTCGTCTGAAAAACCCTTTTCTGCTCTTCTTCTTCAGACAGGTGACAGCAGTAAGTCAGCCTGGTTGTGAGTGGTCTGACCCTTTAGTGCAGCCTGAGACTCTTGGACTATAATTTTGGGGTAGGAAAGGGTAGGGGAAACTTACGTATTAGTCCAAGTGGCGTAGGATGGGGAACTACAAAGTGCCCAAGTTCTAGGAAAGCATTTAAGGATATGTGATAAAATATTGTTATAGGATATAATCACTCAGTAGTTGCAAGCCTCCTAACATCTCTGTGCTCCACTGTAAAATAGTACTTTCCTCAAAGGATTATTGTATGGATTGGGTAAATTACTATTGAGTCCTTAGAACAGTACCTGGTATATAGTCAGCACTTTCTGTTTGTTATTATTATTGCACATATAATTGCAAAGCAGCCATGCACCAAGCACTATGTTTGGAGCAGTGGTGACGCGCTCAGCAACTCAGTGAGACCCTGTCTCTAAATACAAAATAGGGCTGGGGATGTGGCTCAGTATCGAATGCCCCTGTGTTCAATCCCCAGTACCGCCCAAAAAAACTTTAAAAAAAAATTTATAAAGTTCATAGTATAGTGCTGGACACAAGTCTTTCAGTAAATTGTCAGCACCTGAACTGACAATTTGTTTAGATCTCAACCGTTTGAAGACAGAAGCCAGGGGCCATTTCCACCTCTTCTCTATCTAGCAAGTGCTTTCCCTGAAAAAATTTTGTCCCAGTGGTGATACAGCAACCACCCTGGATGCACTCGGGGTGTACTTGCCTCATGCCAGCAGCTGTACATGATCTGGTAGATGGTGTCCGACGCCAGTTGTGGCTGGTAGAGCCTATGGCCCTGGGAGACCTTCACAACCACCTGGGAGTTGTCATACAAGTCATAGGGCTGCTTCCCCAGGCTGAACACCTCCCACATCAGGATCCCTGCACCACACCCAAGGGGTGGTCAACAGACAAAAACAAAACAAGACCAAAAAAACAAAGAGTCAACATGAGAAGGCACAGAGTGTGAATTAGCTTCACATCCAGGTATAGAAGGCCATGATCAGAGCCAGGGATCCCTGGGAGTGAGTCCTAGGGAAAAGGGCAGGCATGGAGGGTGGGACTGTGCCTTCATTTCTGGAGCCCAAGGTCTCTTCCTCCATCCCATGAGATTGAATGGCAAGGGCAGTGCAGAGGAGGCCACTTGGGGCCAAGGTTCTTGGGCCTTTCCAGGCAGGCAGCTGGGGCCTCATTCTGCTCACAGTGACAACAACCTGTGTAGGGAGCCCCGGCCCCAACCTTTATGAGTAATCAATTGAAGTCCTCACCCTCTCTTTCTCTGCTGTGATGGTTATGTGCAACAACTTCATTGCACGAATTACCTTTCAGAGGAATTAAAGATAAAATCAGCCAAGCACAGTGGCACACACCTGTAATCCCAGCGGCTCAGGAGGCTGAGGCAGGAGAATCAAGAGTTCAAAGCCAGCCTCAGCAACTAAGCAAGGCCCTAAGCAACTCAGGGAGACCCTGTCTCTAAAGAAAATACAAAATAGGGCTAGGGATGTGACTCAGTGGTTGAGTGCCCCCTAGTTCAATCCCTGATACCAAAACAATTAAAAAAGATAAAATCATTGATGATGTTCCCCTTCTCTTGCCACTGCCTTTCCCTTCAGCATTTTTGTGTTCAATTTCAGGGTGTTCACAATCCTTCAGGGCATGTGGACTCCACATTAAGAAACCGAGTTCTGGTCATGATGGCCAAGAGGGTGGCATTTGAAATCACTCAGAACTTTTTTTTTTTTTTTTTTTTTTTTTGATACCAGGGATTAAACCCAGGGGTCCTTAACCACTGAGCCACATCCCCAAACCTTTTTATTTTTCATTTTGAGACAGAGTCTTATTAAGTAACTTAGGGCCTTGCTAATTGCTGAGGCTGGTCTTAAACTTGCTATCCTACCGCCTCAGCCTCCAGAGCCACTGGGATTAAAGGAGTGAGCCACCATCATCCGGCTCTGTCAGAACTTTTAAGCCAAGTTCTGCCACTTATAGGCTGGGTAGATTCCTTAGTCGCTCCCAGCCTCAGTTTCCCTGCATATAAAAGAGTATTTATACCACATGTACTTGCCATGAAGATTCAGTAGGACATGGCATGCAATATACTTGAAAGTCTTCCAGGACATTTTAAGTGCTGTCTGAATAGTGCTGTTCTGTCTAAGGACAGAGAATTTCAACATTCTGCCAAATTCAAAATCTTGGAAAACCAGAAGAAAATTTTTCTAAAGCCATAACTGAGATACTCTTTTTTTATTTCAAGGTTACACATTTTTTTGGTAAGATATGTATAAATAAAGCAATCTTTTAAGTTGTTGTGACTCTTTTTTTGGTACCAGGAATTGAACCCAGGGGTGCTAAACCACTGAATCACATGCCCAGTGTGACTCCTCTTTAAAAAAAAAAAAAAAAGAAAAGAAAAAAAACACATTCTAAAACAACTATCCAGGAGAGTGCTGCTCCCTCACAACCTTCTCTTTGGAAGTCTAAACATTTATTTCAAGGTTAACATCACTGCTAAAAAAAATCAGTGGGGCTTCTCTTTGGGAACTGCTTTCAGAGGCCCTGATTCATTTTGTATATCCACACTGGGGAAAAAAATGAAGAATGGATTATTGTTTGTAAGCAGCCAGGAAATATCTAGAGCCAAGTTTTATTGCAAAAAGTGAATATTCAGGCTGGATAGGCTGAGTTTTGGCCAAAACCAAGTTAAAACTATTAAATGATAGTGCTGATTTTTAAGATATCATTCATTAGACATATCAACTGATGTGTGGATATTGAAACTAATTTTGACAACAAGGTACAAAATTTAATCAATACAAAAATGACATTAACTATTCAGCAAAATGCTAGCTTCATGATTTTTCTTTTCTGTGTATATTGGATTTTTTTTCCAATGAATAATGCCAAATATCCAAAGGGAAGAGTTATTTTTAAAAATGTTATCACATACCCAACAACTTAGGAGGCTAAGGCAGGAGGATTATGAATTCAAGAATGGCCTCAGCAACTTAGCAAGGCCCTAGGCAACTTAGCAAGACCTTGTCTCAAAATAAAAAATTAAAATTGGGCTGGGGACATGACTCAGTGCTTGAGCATCCTGGGTTCAGTTCCCAGTACCTCCCCCCAAAAGAAAAACTGTGTCTCATAGAAAAATAAATGACTAATGAAATGTTTCTTTTGGGGGACCATCTTGCAAGTGTTAAGCAGTAAGTCAAATTGCACTTATGAACTAAGACAGGCATGAAATAGGTCTGTCATATTTAATATGTTTTATAATTTTATGATAATTTAGATTACTTATCCTGGACCCCATCTGACAGTGATTGAAAACAGTGTTGACATTCTCATCACATTAAAAAAAAAAACTCAAAATTTATAGAGTCACAAGAATTGATTCCCTTTCCTAATTACCTTTACCTTTTTTTTTTTTTTTTTTTTTTTTTTTTTGCAGTGCTAGGGATTGAAGCCAGGTCCTTGAACATTCCAGGCAAGCACTCTACCACTAAATTTTAATTTAGATATTTTAATAAAATAGGATTTAACGAAATTCTTATGTAAAGGGCTGCCTAATAAACATTTTAAGCTTTGTTGAGTCATGTGGCCTCTGTGGCAACTACTCTCCTCTGCTGTTGTAGCATAAAATCAGTCACAGACAATGTGGAATTAAATGACCATGGCTGTGTACCAATAAAACTTTATTTATAGGTGGGCATAGTGGTACACACCTGAAATCCCAGTGGTTTAGGAAGCTGAGGCAAGAGGATTGTGAGTTCAAGGCCAGCCTCAACAATTTAGCAAGGCCCTAAGCAACTTAGTGACACCCTGTCTGTAAATAAAAATATTTTTTAAAAAGGTCTGGGGAAGTGGCTCAGTGATTAAGTGCCCCTGGGTTCAATCTCTGGTACAACAATAACAACAACCAAAAAACCCTTTATTTACAGAAATAGGTCACCTGTTTTTTTTCCTGCCCCCAATCTAAACTATGAATTTTAACAAGGAAAGGAGACTACTTGAAATGAGGACTGAACTTGCTCTTGTTTGGGTCTTGATGTCCTCCAAAGACCATATGTCAAAGGCTTGGTCCCCAGGTTGATGCTATTGGGAGGTGTGGACACTTTAAAAGGTGGGGCTTAGTGGAAGGTCTTTAGGTTCTTGGGAGTGTGCCCTTAAAGGGGCTAGTGGGTCCCCTGCTCCTCCTCTTCTTCTCTTTTTTTTTTTCCTTAATTTGTTTTATTAGTTATTGATGGATATTTATTTATTTATTTGTTTATATGTGTTGCTGAGAATCGAACCCAGTGCCTCTCACATGACAGGCAAGTGCTCTACCACTGAGCCATAACTCTAGCCCCTCTTCTTCTCTTTTTTTGCTTCCTGGCTATGAGGTGAGCAGCTTTGCTCCACCATGTGCTGCCTCACCACAGGCCCAAAAGCAATGAAGCCAATTGATCATGGACTAGAACCTCCAAGACTGTGAGCCAAAACAAACCTATCCTCTTTATAAGTTGATTTATGTGAGATATATGTTATAGTGATGAAAAGCTAATACCAAGCTGAAGAAAGTGCTGAGTCATGTCTGATGCTTCCATTAGGGATGCCCAAAGAATTGGTCTATTCAGAAGGGAATAGTTATCAGTTACTTTCATACAGAAAATGACTCCATCTTAAGTCTTTCAACTTTCTGGATTTTAAGCAAACTCAGATTTAGTTTTTAATGACTCCTTTAAAAACTGTTTGAAATCTTCATTGGAAGAGTTTTTATCCCCTTTGACTTTATGAAAAAAATATAAGCAGGATGTAAATTATGCGATGTGCACAGGACATCCTAACACCCGACCTAAGAAGGTAAGTCATCTTCTTCAATTTCTTGCTTGTCTCAAGCCATATGTATAATTTTGTAAAATGGCCTCTTTAAAATGGATGTTGTTGCGCTTGTGGTTTCCTGTTGTGGAAGCCAGCTTTTGAAACAGGGCCAGGTCCTGTGTGGCCACTTCCTTACCGAATGCCCATACGTCTGACTTGCTGCTGTATTTGAAGTAGTGAAACACCTCTGGGGCTGACCACTTGACTGGAAACTTTGTTCCTACTGAGCTCACATACTGGTCATCAAGAACATACCTAGGGAGAAACATCAACACAGACATTAAGTACATGGTGATGCAAAATGGGAAGACCTCTGTTATGGTATAGATGTGGTATCCCCCAAGAGCTCACATGTGAGACAATGTAAGAAGGTTCAGAGGAGAAATGATCTGATTGTGAGAGCCTTAACCCAATCCGTGAATCGATGCCTGATGGGATTAACTGAGTGGTGACTGGAGGCAGGTGGAGTGTGGCTGGAGGAGGTGGGGCATTGGGGGCATGGCTATAGGGTATATATCTTGTATTTGGAGAGTGGAGTCTTGCTCTCTGCTTCCTGATCATCACGTGAGCTGCTTCCCTCTGCCACACTCTTCCGCCATGATGTTCTCCCCGAAGGAATGGAGCCTGCTGTCTATGCATTGAGACCTCTGAAACTGTGAGTCCATAAACAAACTTTTTCTCCTTTATAATTGTTCTGGTTGGATCTTTTAGTCGCAGCTGCAAAAAAGCTGACTAAAACAACCTCTGCTGGCCACTATTGCCTGTGTGGTAGAATAGGCTGGTGAAGGGCATCCAGAATCTTAGCTGAATGCCCTGGTTTTCTGGATCTTTTGCTTTCCTTTCCATGTGTCAGTTTAATTAAAGGCTTCTCATGATTTGCAAATATTTAGAAAATGTAACTTTGAAAATAGCAAAACACAAAAGGTATATTTTTGCTTGTATTTTCTGATCTTTTTTCTGGTATTACATATTGAACTCAGGAAAGCTTAACCACTGAGCCACATCCCCAGCCCTTTTTATTTTTTATTTTGAAACAGGGTCTCACTGAGTTGTTTAGGGCCTTGTTAAATTGCTGAAATGGTCGGGAGGACTTGGGGTAGACTCTATTTTTTACTTTACATACTAATGCTATATTTATTATAATATATGCATATTATTTATATAATTAGCAGAAGGAATACCATGTATTTGCTCACAAAAAAAAAAAAACAACCCTAATACAGGGACTGAGGCTGTGGCTCAGTGGCAGAACACTTGGCTAGCATGTGTGAGGCGCTGGGTTCGATTCTCAGCATCACATATAAATAAATGAATAAAATAAAGGTCCATACATCTAAAAAAAATTTAAAAAAATAAAAAGAAACCCTAGTACACAAACAAAATGAATCAACTAGACAAAATAAGAGAATGAAAATTTCAGAAGTCAAAAAATTGAATATAATTGATAAGAATGCTACACAGCAAAATATGTTAGAAATCTCTACTGTAATATCAAACATCAGGAAAAAAAAAAAAGCTGATTATTGGCTTACCTTGTCATTCCAAAATCAGAGACTTTCACAGACAGGTCACTGTCCACCAGGCAGTTCCGAGCAGCCTTTGGAGGAAAAACAAATCTCTGAGTGATAAAAGTGCCCAAGAATTTCCTGATATCAGAATCACTTTTTTTCTGCTGCAGCAGAATTCTAGGCAAAATCTAATATTGCCTATAATAACCCCAAATGCTTTTTTGTGGGGGTACTGGGGAGTAAGCTCAGGGGCACTCGACCACTGAGCCACATCACCAGCCCTTTTTTGTATTTTATTTAGAGATAGGGTCTCACTGAGTTGCTTCATGCTTTGCTGTTCCTGAGGCTGGCTTTGAACTTGTGATCCTCCTGCCTCAGCCTCCTGAGCCACTGGGATTACAGGCATGCACCACTATCCCAGGCTCCAAATACTTTGAAGTTGTCTTTTTTTCTCCTTGCAATTTTCAATTTTTTCAAAATACAAATGTGTTTCCCATAAGAATTTTCACCCAGCACCCATTCTTATCAAACAATATGAAAGTATATATTTAACACACAACATTAGCTTACCAAGGAGAGAGGACAAATTTCTAGGTGCTCTTTCTACCACTGGATACTGAACTTTAACAAATATTTTGAAGTCATATAAACACTGCACCAGTGACTTATAGAATGAATACACTGGCCTGATGGGCATGGCTTGTTTGTATGCACCACAAGAACATCTCTAAAAATAGACCTCAGGTAATGCCACCCACAATGCTCTCCATTCCATTCCCATCCCAACCCAAGGATCCACAAATTTCATTTCCTTTTTTTTTTTACATCAGGGATTGAACCCAGGGGTGCTTAACCACTGAGCTACATTCCCAGCCCTTTTCATTTTTTATTTTGAGACAGGGTCTCATTAAGTTCTAAATTGCCTTGGGCCTTAGTAAGTTGCTGAGGTTGGCCTCCAACTTGCAATCCTACTGCCTCAGTCTCCCAAGTTGCCTGGATTATAGGCGTGCACCAACATGCTCAGCTCTAAAGTCATGATTTTTATTACAAAAGTGTTATGTGCTTATACAAGTTACAAGTAAGCAAAGTAAAAGAGATGATGCCCTCCTTGCTATCCTTCCGAGTGGCCCATCCCTGGAGGTGGACACTTCCTTTCCATTCTTCGAGCTTCCAGTGGCTTAGCTTACCAAGTCCCGGTGTATGAATTGGTGACTCTCCAAGAAAGCCATGCCTTCACAGACATCATAGCACATTTCTAAGAGCTGGGAGGGTTCTAGTCCTTTTCCATGACTCTTCAGATAATTGAGCAAACAGCCGTTAGTTATATATTCAGTCACTATGTATATGGGATATTTCTTTGAACATACTCCATAGAATTTAACCAGCTTGGGATGGTTGAGTTTCCTGGAAAGAATAGATTTTCAAAGTTCAGTGCTCTACTCCATTTTCCAGATGCCCTGAAAAAGAAGGATTGTCAGTACAAAGTTTAAATATGCTTTTAATCTGAAATAGGCTAGGATTTGCAATTTCAATTATCTTTGACAAAACCCCTACTATAATAATGTTTTCATACCCTGATACTTGGTTCCTCCAAAGTAGAGGGATCAGTTGCACTGGTTTGCCTGGGACTGAGGGGTTTCTGAGATACAGAACTTTCAGTGGTACGTCCAGGGAAGTCCCAGGTAAACCTGGAGGATTGGTTACCTTACAAAGTCTGATTCACCATGTTGACAAGAAGAGGGTGAATTATGTACATCACACACACACACACACACACACACGAGTGATGAGATGTGTTGCTAAGAACTGAGGATTATGCTTGGAATCTAGATTCAATAGGAAGGAAATCTTCATTTATCAGGAAAGAAAAACAGTAGGGTGAGAAGGGAATTTTACCAGACTGTATTGAAGGTATCAAGAAGGAAAAGGATATTGGTGATAGCGCATTACTTTACAGTGTCGTCTTAGTCCTGGGTAGTAGCACCACTCTCTCCCTCATCCCACCATGCACCTCCTCAAGGGTCAGAAAGGCCACAGTGTGAAGGAGACCTTCCTGCACAGCCTGTATATCCCTTTCTTAGCCACTCTTGGGGTGCCGGGACTCTGGACCCCCTTGTCCATATAGTCCTGAGGCTTCTTCCAGAACACTCCTTGGGTCTATCCCTTCAAGGGCGAACCTTGCTACCTCTAGTTAAGATCAGTAGCTAATAGATGGTTGTTTCTGGAGACAGGAGGGAGCCTGGGCTGAATGCTGTCTGCTTGAATTACCTGTGGATGGGAGGAGAAAGGGCAAGGGTGGAGTTTGGAGGACCAAAGGCTGGTCACACTGTAGAGTCAGAATTCTGAATTCAAATCAGGTTGTTCAAACTGTTATGATGTGTCAAAGTAATAGTAACAGCACAAACTGTTATTTAAGTTTGTTAGCTCAACTTGTAACTTCTAAATATTTCTATGACATGAGGACACTTGCTCAGGCCTTACATATATTAGGGACAGGCTCATGAGTACTAATGCCCTCCTGTGATGAAAGCCAAAATGTCATTCCTTAGGAGAAACTCACATCATGGTCTGGGCCTCCTGAAAGAATTCATCTTCTGACATGGAGCCCTCCTTGATCATCTTAACGGCAACGTCATACTGTCCCTTCCACTTGCCCAGCTGGACCACACCAAACTGGCCACTTCCCAGCTCCTTCAACAGGGTGATCTCTTCTCTTTTCAGTTCCCAGATTCCTAAGAAGGCAAGACAGACACTCTTGAGGATGAGTACAGAAGGCTTTGGGACCAACAGCTTCCTAAGTGATTTCCTCCTTAGTGAGATTTTTATATTGACATATGAAGAACAACAAAACTTGCCCTTTTTGTACTTTGAGACAGAGTCTTATTAAGTTGCTTAAGGCCTCACTAAATTGCTGAGGCTGGCTTTGAACTCTTCATTCTCCTGCCTCAGCATGTTGACAAGCTGCTGAGCTGCTGGGATTACAGGTAAACACCACCACACCTGGCCAAAACTTTTAAATTTAAGTCAGTAACTCAAAAAAAAAATCTTTAATGATGCGGTCTTATGACACACATAACACTGTTCAGGAAAACACTGTTCTTAAAGCAGCTGCAATTACCAATAAGAAAGTTTAATTTTAGTAGCTCAGGAGGCTAAGGCAGGAGGATCAAAAGTTCAAGGTCAGCCTCTGCAATTCAGTCAGACCCTGTCTCAAAATAAAAAGGGCTGGGGATGTGCCTCAGCAGCTAAGCACCCCTGGGTTCAATCCCCAGTATCAAAAAAAAAAAAAAAAAAAAAGACCTAGAGTAAAATACTACCAACCAGAAGCATCTTGGAGAAATCAGTGTCAAAATGTGTTTGATGCCCTTAGGTTGGTAAAATATTGTTAAATTTTGTTAATGAAACTGTAGTCTAGGTGGATGTTATTATCCAAAACACTAAGGTGAGGGCTAGCTCCATGGAATGGGCCCAGAAGCTAGGTAAAAGGACAGGCAATGGGGTGCTAGAGAATAATGGTAGGATCAAATAAGAGGAAAAATTTGATAATCTTTTGGGTATTGCTGGGGAGAGTACAGATTTCAGTTGGGTGGATAGAATGAAAAGAAATGACTCAAGGGGCTGAAGCTGTGGCTCAGCAGTAGCACACTCACCTGGCATGTGTGAGGCACTGGGTTCAAGTCTCAGAATCGCATATAAATAAATAAATAAACAAATAAATAAATAAATGTCTATCAACAACTTTAGAAGAAGAAGAAGAAGAAGGAGAAGGAGAAGGAGAAGGAGAAGGAGAAGAAGAAGAAGAAGAAGAAGAAGAAGAAGAAGAAATCTCAATCTCCAGAGCTAAAGCCCTCCCTGGAACAATCTGAACAGGACCTTCCTTCCTGTCTTCCGTCATTTTTCCAGTTAGTTAACTATTTATGCTTCAACCAAAAATGGTGGGAAATGAAATTTAAGAGCCAAAAGGTGTATCCATACCACTTCCCAGGGACACAGAGACTGGGACCTTGTTGGCCTTGGTTGACACAGGGTGGCGGAGCCTTGTAATCATGCCTGCAATGAAATAGCATCATATCATTGCACATATTATATCACTTCACATAGCGTTAGTTTATAATTATTCTCTCTCCAGAGTAGTTGAGATGCAGAAAGAGAATCTGTTCTGACTATGTTCATCTTGTAATTGTATTAATTTGCTTGACCTAACTAGGTTAAATCCAAAACAAAAAAGAGTAAATCGCTTAATGTGATTTTTAAAAAATCTGTCGAAATTAGTAGCTTGATGGAATCTTTCACTTTAAAATTTTTTCTATTTTTATTTTGCTGTCTCCTTATAGTCCTACACTTAAATATGTGTACAAACAACACATTCATTTGGCAAACATTTCAATGATATGGAAGGGTATACATTAAAAAAATAAACCACCTGTCTTTTTAAAAAAAAAATAAACCTATTACCAAATTAAGCCTGCTACTAAATTTACATAGCATTATGGTAAAGCTTGGTTAAAATCATTATAATTTTTACAGTGCTTTGAAAGAACCCATTCAAAAATGTAAACAATTCTTCTTTCAAATTTGGGGTGTTTTCCAAGTTCATTTTTCTTCCTTTTTCTGGGCATTTGTTGTTGTTTTTTATTTATTGGGTTTGTTTTTGTTTTTGGTACTGGGGATTGAACTCAGGGGCACTCAACCACTGAGCCACATCCTCAGCCCTATTTTGTATTTTATTTAGAGACAGGGTCTCACTGAGTTGCTTAGGGCCTCGTTTTTGCAGAGGCTGGCTTTGAACTCGAAATTCTCCTGCCTTAGCCTCCCAAGTCACTGGGATTACAGGCATAAACCACCACACCCAGCTTATCTACCACATTTTCTTTATCCACTCATCTGTGAATCATACAATACATTAATAGAAAACTTAAGAAAGTGAGACTTAAAAAAAACTCTAAATAAACATTTTAATCTCTTCTTCCTATCCCCTATAAAGTTTCTTGTGTATCCTATAGGTGGAATCATTCATTTAAAGATGTCTGTTCACATAATACCTTTCTCAAAAGATACTTTTGAGGTACTACAAGTTGAAATAAGAAATTTGGATAAAAGAAAATTGCAAATAATAACCAAGTCAGATGCAGCAACACAAATCCAATGCTGAGCCCATGGTTTATTTTTATGCACTTATAGTTGGAAATTTCCTAGTCACTATCCTTAAGTGGTACTATTCTAGAAAACAGAGGGGATACACACACACATACACACACACACACACACATACACATTCCATCTTATTTATATTTAATCTCCAGTCCATTAGGCAAAATTATAAATGAATAATAGTACCCAATGTTGGGGAAGATGAAAGAGAAATTGTTAGTGGGATTTTACATTCCTGAAAAGCATTCAACAATTTCCAAGCTTTAAATATTCTTAGCCTTTGTCTTGTAAATTCCACTTCTAGGAATTGGCTATAGAAGCAGTCAACTAAGAGTATGAGACCTCCGTGCAATGAAATATCCATTGGAATGTGCAAATATAGGACATGATCCAACTGGTGATCAATAGAGGGCTATGTGAATAAAGTATAGGGTAACTCTACAATAGAATTCTATGAAGCTGTTAAATAGAACAAAATAAGCTACATGTGTTTACAAAGAAAGACATAGTGAAGAATGAATACAAGCTTAATACATGGAAAATGATCTTATATCTGTAAAAATGCAATGTTTATACATATGATTTATATTTATGATCAATAAAAGTGTTTGTAAGCATTTAAAAACATCTGCCATAATTGAAACTAATTTGTTCATGGGGATTATCTATGATGCGTATTTCCTTAATATTTGAATTTTACAATCAACTTACTACCATAGGAAGGAACAAAAATCAACGAATATTTCTATAAACAGAATTTATCCTTCTAAGTCACTCAAATCACTCAACTTTATTCTTTTTTTTGGGGGGGCAGTACCAGAGATTGAACTCAGGGGCACTCAACCACTGAGCCACATCCCCAGACCAGTTTTGTATTTTATTAGAGACAGAGTCTCACTGAGTTGTTTAGCACCTCGCCAAGTTGCTGAGGCTGGCTTTGAACTCACGATCCTCCTGCCTCAGCCTCCTGAGCTGCTGGGATTACAGGCGTGCGCCACTACACACGACCCTCAACTTTATTCTTGCCGGCATTATGGCATGTATCCTGTTATACTTCAAGAAGTATAAGTGAAAGATAGTAGACAAAGGGTTGCATTTTCCCCTGCATTCTTGGTTCCTTATATAATTAAGAGTATTAGGAGGATCAGTAGTATCCAAGAAAATTGATATTTATCCACAAGGACCCATACAAGATAAATTACCTGCTGAATTGTGTTGATGATAATGAATAAGCTTTGGTATGGAATCAAAACAGTAGTTTTCTGCCAGGTATAATTTATTTTCAGCATTTGTATGCACATGGTAATGTTTGACAGTTCCTTTTTTATCACTAGTAAGGAAAAAAGATTGTTACAACACTTCAAACAAACAATTGAGGCTTGATTAAATGGTGGTTAAATAATTATTTTGGATGCATTTGCAAATTTTGGAGAGGAAGTCAGGGTGGGTTTCTCAGTCCTGACATCTGGTGTTTTTCCAAAGGTATCCATGACAGTAATTATGGAAGAGGGCTGCTCTCTGAACTCAATGTATCCTTTGTACACATACAAAATTCATGACTAATTAAATTCCAACTTTCCAGACTGTTCTTCCCATAGTAAATATAAAAATAGAATATTTCTTTGATCATTAAGAGCCTTGCAGTTCTTTAGGGTCATTTCTGAGCATAAATTCTCTTTCAGGATAATAATAGAAATGAAAATCTGGGAGACAAAGATGATTAGGTTGTGGGTCTTTTCACCCCAGAGCATGGATGGGAGATTATTTTGGGAGTAAGACACATAGGATGGAGTGGGTGGAGATGTCCTTTAATTCCTCATATAAACTAATACCTTTTCTTTTATATATATATATATATTTATTCTGCTCTGATGGACTGAAGGGAGGAAAGACTAACAGTCATCCTTATCCAACAAGCCCTGATTCTTTTTTGTTGTTATTAATTTTTAGTTGTAGGCGGATACAATACCTTTATTTTATTTATATGTGGTGCTGAGGATTGAACCCAGTGCCCAATGCTTACGAGGCAAGTGATCTACCACTGAGCTACAATCCCAGTACCTTTTCTATATAAAACATTTTTTTCTTTTTCTCTCCTTTTAGAAATCATAGATAATTGATGCACATTGATTTAGGCTAATCAGGAATAATATGATTGTCTTAGATTTTAGAGTATGGCATTGTGGTCAAGTACCAGGCTGTTAATCTGGTTCTAACACTTGCTAGCTACTTCCTCTAGTTGTTGTCTAGTGTTGGATGAGGTTGTGTGTGTGTGTGTGTGTGTGTGTGTGTGTGACCCACAAGAAGCAGTTAATGAGTTATTGCTGCTAGAATGCCAACCTATTTAAAATTGCAATTATAAAAAGGAGAAAAGGGTGCTCCTTTTTGTTGCAAGTGGCTAATCTGGTCTTGGTGTCAGTGTGAAATTCCCTCAAGTGCACTGACAAGGTTTCATAAAGGAAGGCTTCTATATTCATGGATCATGATTATTTTCATTTGATTTCTTATCTATTTGCTAATTTGTCTACCTGGCCCCCTTCAAAAATGAATCTGGAGTTCAGAAGCTTGATTAGGAGAACATCTGATATTAGATTTGGCCCAAACTGCCAGGCCAGAGGGCCACAGAGGTCACTCAGTAAACACAGTCTTCTCCCACTTCTAACTAGCTGCATTGGTTTTAGTTGACATCTGTGTGCATCCTAGTATAGGAGCTACACTGTGGATATGACTTCTGGCATTGGAAAACGCCACGTGGTCACTCAGGATACACCCTATTATCTCAATTGGACATAAGTACTCTGTAAAAAAAAAAATTCTCAAAATACTTTTTATCACTTTATTATCATAAATACACAGGTAAGCACTGTGGAGTAGAGCACCTAGGAAAAGCACCGAGGCCAATGGTCATTCAATTCAGCTGTTAAAAAAAGATCCTACACATGGGTTGGGGTTGTGGCTCAGAGGTAGAGCGCTTACCTAGCATTCATGAGGCACTGGATTCGATCCTCATTAGAAAAGCTTACTTAAAACTGAACACTGGGGTAGCTTTCTGAGCTCAGCAGGTGGCTAGAGCTGAGAGTGTGGGGCTGCCATTGTGTATTTTTTTCTTTCTAAGCTTAGGCCTGACCTAAAGGCAATCACCCATGAACCTCTTTTTTTTTTTTTAATTGGTTCTTTTTAGTTATACATGACAATATAATTTATTTTGACATCATTATAGACACATGAAATATAATTTGTTCTAATTCAGTCACCACCTCTGAGTCTTTTAATAAATATTTACTGAGGCATGTTGTTCTCTGGGCACTCTGCCATTGTCTAGGGTGGGAGGGAGGAGGTCACCCAGAAAACAGTCTCTTGAAAGTGGGGGTAAAAAACTATGTAATGTTTTGAACAACCAACAATAAAAAAAAAGAAAGTGGGGGTAAAAAGACAACAACAGGGCTGGGGTGGTGGCTCAGTGGTAGAGTGCTTGCACTCTATGTGAGGCATTGGGTTTGATTCTCAGCACCACATACAAATAAACAAAATAAAGGTCCTTCTTCAACTAAAAAATATTTAAATTAAAAAAAGACAACTACAAATGGTCACATTCAATAAAAATACTTTGACCCCAAATTTCAGAATTTATAGATGGTGTCTTACCTTAAAATGTGACAAAGTGATCAGCCTATTCAAAGAACATATGCAGGAGGATAAGAGAAATAAATCTATATCATACTTACTTCACAGCCTTACTAAATAAGGACACCGTGTACATTCCCGCCTGGCTGGAATTTCTAACCATAAATGCACCTTCTTTTCCCTGAAAAGGAAGGATTATTTTTATAGTTTTTTTTTTTTTTTTGTGTGTGTGTGTGTGTATGTGTGTGTGGTGCCTTGTGCATGTGAGGCAAGCACTCTACCAACTGAGCTACATCCCCAGCCTCCCCTTTATAGTTCTTGACAATGATTTTTCACATAAGCAGTAGGAAAAGAAATCTTTTAGATTCACTTTAAATGTCACTGAGGGTCCAGATTATCCAATAGTTAGCATAGACGGGGTCCCACAGTTTTACTTTCCTACTTTTCTCAATATCTTTTTTTTTTTCCCTTTTTCTGTACTAAGGTTGGAACCCAGGGCCTTGCACATGGTAGGCCAGTGTGATAATACTCAATATCCAGCCCACTCAATACCTTTTTTTTTTTTAAGACAAAGAGAGATGTAATAGGGAATACTTCTGAGCCACAGCCACAGCCCCCCCACTCAATATCTTTAAAAAATCTATTCGGTGTGTTTCAACTCTTTCTCTCCAGTTAATTTTTTAACTCTATCTGCTTTTTTTTTTCTTCATACTTATGCAAGCCTAATGTTTTTATGCTTACAAAATAAAATTTAGAACCACATATCACCATGTTATGTCCTTGGAAGGTTTTAGAAAACCAAAGAGGCATGCAGAATAAATCATTGTTAAAGTTTTACATCTGACTTGTCTTTCTCAATGACTTGTGCTAATTGTAAGCAGATCCAGATTCAGAAAAAGCAGATGATAAACTACAAATGTGACAAAGCACCAAGTGAAGTCATCAGATTCTCACAAGTACCTCTCAAAGAAATATTTGGTATGTTCACTATTTTATTAGGTTAAATTATATCAAAGTATCATTTTTATAGATAAAAGAGGTTGCTATTGGTAATTCCATATCAATTGGTGATAAAATCAGATAAATGTATTCCCTATTACATCTGCTGTAATAGGGAATTTAGATGCTAATGAGTGGTGACAGACCTGAAGTAAATGGTTACACTGATGGTCCTCAATAAATCATTTCTCTTGCGCTGGGTGTGTAGCTCAGTGGTAGAGCACTTGCCTAGCATTCATAAGGCTCAGGGTCCTATCCTCTGTACTGCAAAAATCAGACAAAACAAAAAAAATCATCTCTCTTATTCATGGTCCTGTGCAGTATCTTCCTACATTGACTTTGGGCAGGACATCAAGAAACATGACAATAGCAGCAACTTCATAAGTGCTTGCACTGTGTCCTGTTTTACCACTGCAGTTCTGTGAGGAGGCCCAGGTTAGGCACATGGAGAGGAGGAACTATGGTGCCTCAGTTGACTGCCTCAGCTGAATTCCACCCCCAGTCAATCCACCAATTAAATGCAGTCACAAGAGTGAGCCTACGTAAAATGTGCATCTGGGCCAGCTGACTCAGAATTGTGAGGAATCAAAAATCTTGTTTCAAGCCACCAAAATTTGGGGTGGTTTATTGTGCAGCAATAGAAAATGGAAGAGAAAATATGGTTGGACATCAAGGGCCTGGTAACCCAAAGTCTGGACAACCAACACTATGATGAGTTGACTATATACTTAGCAATATTTCTATGAAAATTGGATTAACCTCTGGGCCCACTAATACAAAGAAATTTCTAGACTGAGAATGTAGCTCAGTGATAGAGTGTGTACTTAGATGCATGAGGCCTGGTGCAATAAGTAAATAAATAGTTTTTAAAAAGAGAAAGAGATTTTAGGGGCTATTTTAAAGAATACCACTTACCTTTTGTCTCAGTAACTGCTCAGATTGTGACCTGGAGATGTTACCTGCAAACCAACTGTAAGAGGAAAGGATTCCATATTTGAGAATTAATAATTTTTAAATTGCATCACTTGCATTCAAATTATTAAAATAAAATGAGGCATTGGCCCACATCAGGGGTTTTAAAACCTGACTCCTCAAAAGAATCACCAGAAGATATTTTCAAAAATATAGATCCTTGAAAAAAAATATATAGATCCTTGAGACTCTACTACCCAATTCTGATTCTAGGGCAGAGCCTGAACATCTGAAGTTTTAAATGGGCTGGTATTCAGGAACCTCTGGCTTCCTTCTAGGTGACCTGTTTTGTAAGTTATCCTTCATGTCACCACTTGGCAAGAGGGCCAGAGATTAGTCCAATGAAGACTCTTCTAATATAAAATTCAGAATTGCCAAGGATAAATGCTCTTGTCTTTCAACTCCATCATTTTCTTTTAATGATCTGAAAGAAACATACTATATATCATCTATGGTCAAAGCAAATGCTTTTTTAAAATTTAAAAAAATATTTCAGGATAGCTATAGATAAGCATCTAAGATTATATTAGGGCTGGTTTAGTGAGATGGAACTGAGAAAAAGATGATATGGGGAAGACAGGAGTAGTTCTTTTCTTTGAAAATAACCTTTAAATATCATCCTTTTTACTAAGTTAGCCAAGAACATCATGTCCTACATTGTATACAGAGCTCAACAGGCAAAGAGCTGTTTCTCATGTGGAGTCAACAATGTCTGTGGCCTTTGGCTTTGTACTAATAACAATGTACTAATAACAAACTGAGTAGAGTATGATGTGGGATAGGGTGTAGGTTTGAAGGATTGAGAGGACCCCCTGGCTACAGCAGGGTATCTGAGGCAGAAAGAAGTACGTGAGGAGGATGGGAGTGAATGGGAAGGGTTGTGTTGGTCCTTCTCAGTCTTGCATGTCTTAATATAAATTATGCTACCAGATGCTTTCCTGAGGGTAGATATGAGGGCAGAAAGTGGGGCTAAAAGAGAGCTGGAATGTGGGGAAGAGATCATACTGCAAAGGGATAGAGATTATAGCACATCTACCCTAGTGCTACAGGCACACCCAGGACCAGGCTGGGTTAGAGTTTAAGAGGAAGAGTTCAAACAGTGACATATACTTTGTAAAAGCTCTTGCTTTCACGTGTAACCAATGAATCAATGACAACCCTCATATGAAAACAGAACTAGAAATATGCATAGTCTAGTGTCCACACAAAGTTTATAATTTGAGGCATAAAGTGTGTAAAAAATGCAATATGCTCTATTACTCCCATCTTTCCTTAACATCAATCTTTATTGTTTAGAGAACAATTATATGTTGCTATTTGTAGAATGCTAGAACCCTATTTTTTGGAGAGAACCTTAATGGTCACTTAAATCAATGAAACCCAATATAATTAGGATGGCTACACTTTCTTATTTGCCTAGAATAATCCAGTTTATGCCAGATGTTTAGTGAAATCTTTCTCTCTCTAAAGCATTTCAATTTTGGTACTAAATGATAAGGTCACCCTGATAATAGGAATCTCTCATCAGAAATGCTGCCATGTTCAAGTTCTCAGGATGCTGCTACCTTGTAAAATCACCAATTCAACGTTAATAAGGCCTGAAGAAAGGCCTTTCAGGGAAAAAAATGAACAGAAACATCATATGCTCTATTTATAAAGACCAAGTGAAATGAAGGGGAACACTGGATAATGACAAATCCAGTGAAAATGTGCAGCCAATTTAGAAAGCCTAGATTGGGGGAAATATCATCATTGATAATAACCTAGCTCATTGCCACCTGTCATTTAGAACCCACATGAGCTTACCCATGTAAACACAGCCTCCTGAGAAAGTCTGAGCCATCTGTTTTAATGCCTTTGAGGAATCAAATAGAAACATCTCTGCCTAATCTTAGAGGAGCACAGAAGACTTTCAATACTCACTCATAATCATCCAGGTTTTCTTCTTCTTCAGATGAACTTGACTCAGGGAACCCCCTTAACAAGAGTCAAGGAACAACATGAATGAAAAAAATCATCATGAAACAATCAAAGTGCCAGTAATACAATATTAGACCCCACCCTTCTTCAATCCACATAAATAAAATCTAGACTGTTAAGGATTCATTTTTGCACTAAGGAAGGTATCAGCGAAGTGAAGAGACAGTCACTCAAAAGTTGGGCTTATGCTCAGTTTAGTGATAAAATGGCTCTTTAGTGCAGAAAGCCCCCTAGGAATATAGATGTCTTTCATTCTCTCCTTTTTTTTTTTTTTTTTTTTTTTTTTGGTACCAGAGATTGAACTCAGAGGCACTTGACCCCTGAGCCACATCCCCAGCCCTTATTTTGTATTTTATTTAGAGACAGGATTTCACTGAGTTGCTTAGCACCTTGCTAAGTTGCTGAGGCTGGCTTTGAACTCACAATCCTCCTATCTCAGCCTTCTGATATAGGTCAGATGGTAGAGTGCTTGCCTCACAGGCACAAGGCCTTGGGTTCAATCCCCACCACAGAAAAAAAAAATTCTCTCCTTTTTAAACTATAATTATTAGTAAAAATTAATTGTACAAATTCAAATGCATGGGTTTCATTGTGATATTTCCATATAACATGCTTTGATTTTTTTCAAAATAGTGGGCTCATGAAATACATCCCCTTTAGGGGATAATATGAAGTTAAAAACAATTTGGGCTGCGTATTGAGCTATTCTTAGGGAAGAGTAAATCAATTCCAGGTTGGTTTCCCTCCTGCTAGAGATGCCTGAATCAGCTAGATTAATGTTCATGCTAACACCAGAGTATGTCATGAAGATTGGCTAGGAGAAATCAGTGTGAGAACTGTAACCCACAAACCATGGATTCAGACCCACTTAAGGGTTCAGAGAGACAAACTACATGGACATTTCTGGTTTATCTTCACCTTATACGTAAAGCCTAGTTGCAAAATCATTGCAAATTTGGTTAGCTTTCCTACAAATGGAAGCCAATCCTGGATATAAATTAATATCTACATTAGATTTACCATGATATCTTTGAGGTGCTGTGATTTACAATATTTCTTTCCATCTGATAACTGCATGCAACATCTTCACTGCTGCAAGAGATGTTTCATAAGTTTATAAATTTATGCATACTTATACATCTTAAATGACAAAAGTAATTCTGTTCAAATATGATTTAGCTTTACTTGACATTTAGACCCACACATTTCATTTGGTTTGGAAATTTAAGCTAACTAATTACTTTCCCAGTGGTCTTTTCAGGGACTTCAATAAGAAGCAGTAGCTTGGCAATGTGCCTATATAATAATGGCTTATAATGACCCCAAATAATAACAAACCTGGATTAATAAATCATTTGACCTAGGTTTGCTCTGATTTTCTTATGGATATGTAAGCATTCTGTCACTTATATATTTAAAATAAGCTATTCTCCTCTTTGTTGTCATGATTATAATCAAGTCTTCAAAATGCTAAACTGTGAACTCTATGTGGACATAAATGGATAAACAGGATTTTCATCCTCTACCACCCATCATTTTATCTCTTCAATTTGGGTGTTAAGAGACTGAGGAAGTGCCTTCCTCCCAAAGCCCCAACACTGTTTTATCTGGAATGTAGGACCTATTTCCTGTTTGCTGTCATAGACCAGGCTCTTTTTCAAAACCACACTTCATTGGCAAGGAAATGCTCTTCTGGCTCCATCTCAAAGAATGTCTAGAGAAAGCCCTTAAACACTGCAATGCCTCCCTCCCACCTTCCCACAGAACCTGGCCCACCAGAATGACCTTTCAGCTTTAACTCTTCATAAGAAAAGTCTTTATTTAAAAAGGCTAGGCAGGGCTGGGGTTGTGGCTCAGTAGTAGAGTGCTCGCCTAGCACCCATGAGGCACTGGGTTCAATCCTCAGCACCACATAAAAATGAAATAAAGATATTGTGTGTCCACCTACAACTAAAAAATAAATATAAATAAAAAATATAAAGGGTAAGCAATTTATTTAGCCTTCTTGTTTTGAAGAGTTTGTGTAGAGTAGCAATCAATAGTACATCACTTTGGTTTATCCATATAAAGGAATACTTTATAGACATTAAAAATAATCAGGTAGATTTCACAACAATGTGAATGTACTTAACACTACTGAACTATGCATGTAAAAAATGACTGATTGTGATAAATGTGTATTTTACCACAATTAAAAATTGAAATAAAATTTAAAAATTAAGTATATCTTCATGTGTTCAGATGGGAAAAAAATGTCAGATGTCAAGTGAAAAGAACAAAGGGCAGGGGCTGGGGTTGTGGATCAGTGGCAGAGCACTTGCCTAGCATGTGTGACGCACTAGATTCGATGCTCAGCACCACATATAAATAAATAAAATAAACGTATTGTGTCCATCTACAATTAAAAAAATATTTTTTTTAAAAAAGAACAAAGGGCAAAGAAGACTGAGCAATGGGAATCTGCTTTGGTTAAAATATATATATATATATATATATATATATATATATATATACATATTTTTAAATATATATAATAATTATAAGATATATATATTTTAGCATGTACACAGAAAACATTTAGAGGCATATACATTTGAATTTTAAAAATTCAAGCTCCATGAAGACCTTTTAACAAGTATTAAAGTATTCTAATTCACTCATAGATGTAATGTAGCTCATGCTAAGATGTGAGTGACCAATCCTTTGTATAAAAAATTAGCTTTCTGAAGGTCTAGGGCAAATCCAGGGTCAGACTTAAAGGTGGTTCAAAATGTAAGGGTACATGTCAAAAACTTAGTATTCAAGATAAATAGTCTTTATGGAAATATTAATTAATGCTAAAAAAACCTTTGAACAAAATATCAACTTTTGAAATGCAGATAGGATCTGGCAATTTATGAAAATGTGAAAATTGTACAGTCATTTTCACCACACACCTCCCTCAGGAAATCACTGGGCCTTCTATCAGGGAGGTGACCTGGAAAAACTTAACCTGACATTCACTGTCCTTGGATCTGGGCTTGGTGATCACCTCCTTCTATAGGAACATTGGGCTACAAGCAAATAAATGCAGCCTTTTCCCTCAGGTACCAGGTATGGATTAATACACTTGGATCTAGTTCCACTTTAAAATGAAAGGGACCACAGCTTATTATATTTAAAAAACAAAACAAAACAACAACAACAAACTAGAAGAATCCACTTACAGGTTTTCAAATTCCATATGGCCTTGGGGCTGTATCATTGGTACAGTGAGGCATTTGCTTTAGATAAAAAATAATGAACATGGAAAGAATAGAGGAATAAGAAGACAAGGGATAAAACAAAGAGACAAAGATAAGTCAGAGAGATGATCTGCATCACTGTGGGGAAAGACAGACATGGGTATCCTGTATGGAGGCTCACAACTGGATGAAAAGATGGCAGACAGTGGGCAATGTGGTGGGGAGGAAGTCTGAGGCAGCAAATAAGAAAGGGAAGTCATGGCTAGGTGTGGTGGTGCATGCCTGTGATTCCAGCAGCTTGGGAGGCTGAGACAGGAGAATTACAAGTTCAAAGCCAGCCTCAGCAAAAGTGAGGTGCTAAGCAACTGAGTTGAGACCCTGTCTCTAAATAAAATACAAAATAGGGCTGGGGATGGGGCTCAGTGGTCAAGTGCCCCTGAGTACCAAAATAAATAAATAAATAAATAAATAAAAATTTGTAAAGTTTCTTCAAAAACAAAAACAAGAACTTCCGGACCCGGAGGCTTAAACATGGATGTGCACCCGACGAACTTCCAGATCCTGGGCCTTAAACATGAAAGTGAGCCTGAGGAACTTCCAGATCCGGTGGCCTAAACATGGATGGGTCCCTGAAACTTCTAGGTCCTTGTACCTATAAAGGGCAGGGCGTGACTCTCAGGAGGGACGTGGCCCATGAAGGGGAGCCGAATATGGGGCCTGTTGGGAGGCAGACTGAGCTGTCACATCCTGAACTTGAATGTGACAGTGGCCTCACTTCCCAGCCTTCCCCTGGGTGTCACTTCCTCCCCTTCCAGGCAGTGCTGGGGAGGAAGTGAGACCAGGGGCAGGGGCCAGACCCTGAGGAGGGACACCTTCTTTCTCCTCGCTTAGCTAGGCACCCGGCCTGGCTGGGGATGGGGACATCTTGTGACACTGGCTGCCTCCTGCATCCCTGCCCCAGGACCTCAGGGACCACAGGCGGAGACAGTCGTTGATTCTCCCCTGGCTGCTGACCCTCAGCCCCGGGGTCTGCCCAGGGAGAGTTCTGTCTCCCAGAGGGTCAGGGGAACCCTGTGACCTGCTGCTCCTTACCCACCATCATCCTGGGCAAGCACAGGTCAGGACACCAGAAGCTGCTGGGAGTGACATCTCCTAGATGGGTGGCTGGGGACTTTCCCTCTGTCCCCAGGCCTCGGACTCTGGATGATCCCCCCCCAGAGACAGAAAATAACCCCACACTGCCCAAGACTTATTTTTAAGCTTTGGATTCTGAAGTTTTCCTGCTGCCACCTTCTTTGTGAAGCCAGTTTTTCAACAAGACAATATTCCAGGGGGGAAAAAAAAAACAAAAAACGAAACATGGAGTCATTCAAACCAAGCTGACACATCTGGTCCTCCMAGAGAAATCTAGATTGGGGGGAGAACAGCCATTCTCAACTGGCAAAATAATGAAGTTCCCTTGTCCTTATTTTGTGTAAGCAAAATAAATAATCTAATGTTAACTCATCAAAAACAAAAACAAAAAAACAGAGAAATTGCATGACCCTTTCTCCATGATCATTTTATGATTTAATTTAATATTTATTGAGCATCAAATTGGTCCAGACACAGTGCCAGACCCTGGAGATATATACAATTTATATACCTTCAAGGTATTTAGATAGAAACTTTAGGCTGAAAAACTTGAAAAGACTAATCAAGTAAGCTCCTTCTAAGCCATCTTTCATATACAGAACATATTTTAAAGATTCTGTGTCTGAAATGTGCAGTTCTTTGGAAGAAGTGGGAACAGAAGGGAATCAAATGCTTAAGTATCACTTAAAACATTAGATAAGATAATATAAACGGCAAGTCTATGCTGCTCAATCCCAGAAGAACCACACGCTTCCCCAGTTTTCTAGTGCAAGTACTGAACATTTTCTGAGTAGACAGCCCTATCTCAGCTAAAGCCTGCATCAGCGGTTTTGAGGGTGAGGTCCAAGGCAGTGGGATCATGGGGACATTATCTACATGCTGAGCAGACAGCCCAAAAGCTGAGGTTTACCTTTTCAGTTTTCTTACTTGCCACCAGTCAGGGCAGTCTTCCCTTGGAATATATCGCATGTTGACATCTGGCTGGGAACTGAAGTTTTTCTTTGCATCAACGTCATATTGAGGTAGAGTAATACTTGAAGATGGTGCATCCATTTTGAGAATAGGAACTGCCCGCGGAATCTTTAGCTTTGAAGAACAGGAGATTTTACTACATCGTGGTGAGGCACAGATTCAGGAACTAGGAACTAACAACTAAAGTATATCAGCTCTTAAATTAGAAGGAAAGAGGGGAGGAAGGGAGGAAGGAAGAGGGGCATAGTAAGTATTGTTAAGGATATGGAGCGACCGTAACGTATACTTTTGCTGGTTGGAATATAAAGTGGTAAAAACACATTGGAAACTTATTTGCTGAATGCACTAAAGATGGATGTGCATATACTCTATGACCCAGAAATTATGGGCGTGCACACACACATACATGCACATATACTCTATGACCCAGAAATTATACACACACAGTCACACTCTATGAACCAGAGATTACACACACACACACTCACACACGTATATATATAATAGTGAAACAGAAAGATGTGGAAAACAACATTCATAGCAGAATATTTTGAATTAGATAAAAATTGGAAATTACTGAAGTGCTCATTAAAAGGATAAAATAGTAAATACACTGGTTGCAGTAGATTAAGTAATAGCTCCCCAATATGATCATGTCCTAATTCCCAGATGCTGTGATTATCTTACATAATACAAAGGGCTTTGAAGATTGTGATTAAGGAATTTGAGGTGGAGACATTATTCTGAATTATAGATATGGGACTGATGTCATCAAAGGGACCCTTTTAAAAGGGAAGATGGTCAGGGATTAGAGAGAAGATATGAGCAGAGGTCAAAGAACAGAGAGGCTACAACCCTCTTGACTCTTAAGATGAAGGGAGAAACCAGGAACCAAAGAATACAGATAACCTTCAAAAACTAGAAAACACAAGAAAATAGATCCTCTCCTAAAGTCTCCAGAATGAATACAGCTCTGTGGAACCATTTTAGACTTTTGACCTTCAGAACTATAAGATAAAAAATTTGTGTTGTTTTTAGCCACTGAATTTGTGGTAATTTCTTAGAGCAGCAATAACAAAATAATATAGTGGCATAGTCATACAATGGAATTCTATACGCAGTAAGAATAAACTACAACCATACACTAAATCAATGTGAATCTCATAACTTGAACAAAAGACAAACAACAAATGACTATATACTTTATGATTCTACTTATGTAAAGGTCAAAACCAGGCAAATAATCTATGATATTGAGAGTTAGGCGAGCAATTACTCTTGATGGGGTATAGTGACTGGAAGGGAACATACGGTTCTATAATGTTGTGTTTTTTAATCTGAATATGTTTTATACAGATGTGTTTAGTTTGTGAAAATTCATCAAGCGGAACATTTAGGATCTGTGTGCTTTATACTTCATCAAAAATTGTGTGAGGGGCTGAGGATGTGGCTCAAGCGGTAGCGTGCTCACCTGGCATGCTCGGGGTGCTGGGTTTGATCCTCAGCACCACATAAAAAATAAAATAAAGATGTTGTGTCCACCGAAAACTGAAAAATAAATATTAAAAAAAATTGTGTGAGTGTGTGTGTGTGTGTGTGTGTATAAGCATGTGAGCATACATGTGTGAACTCTAAATTTAATTTTTTCAAATTTATTTTTCTTTTTTCAGGTGTTTCATTTATTTGGAGTTGAGGCTTTGACATTCTGGAAATTTTTTGTTACACAGGATATATATATATATATATATATGCTCTATATATATATATAGAGCATATATATATATATATATATATATGCTATAAAATGGGTTCTTTCTAAAGATAAATGCATTGGAAAGTTCCTTAAATGGAAATCTGAATAGAATGGCTATCAAGCTGATTTTTATTTCTACCATTCAGAAAATATGTCTTCTATTTAGTGCTTTGGTAAGAACAAAACAGAAAAAAATGCTTTTCACAATACCCTTTCTGAACTCTGGTTCATTTGGGCAGTTTATAATCAGAATAGGCTTAGGAACCCTTAGTCGCTGATTTGCTTGGCTGATAAGTTTCAACACATTTCCCAAAGAATTTCCTGCCAGAGGTGAGAAGCAATCATTTCTAACTTCTTAATTATCTTCTGCGCTTAGATTTGTTTAAAACAAACTTCATTGGAATTCACACTTTTAAAGTGAAGAATTATGTGACTCTTACTAAATTTATCAAGTTGTATAACCATCATAATCTGTTCTTAGTATATTTCCATCACCCCATTAAAATCCCTTGTGTGCACTGACAGCCAATCTCCATTTCCACTCTGGCCTTAGTCAACCATTATTTGACCTCTGTCTGTATAGAGTTGCTGAATCTGGACATTGCTGTTGGGGCCATGATTTTAATGTGATGATGGGGATGGAACCCAGGGTTTTGTGCATGCTAGATAACCATTGAGCTACACCCCTGGCCCAAGGGTCATAATTTTTAAGCTTTTAGGACTGGAGCAAGTATCCAAATCCAAACAGCAATGTTGCTGATAACAAAGTGAAAACTCCAAACCATAATAATTATTTCCTTTGGCTGCCATAACCAATCACTGCACATTTGATGGGTTAAAATAACAAAAATTATTCTTTCAGGAGCTGGGGATATAGCTCAGTTGGTAGAGTGCTTGCCTTGTATCACAAAGCCCTGGATTCAATCCTCAGCACCACACACAAAAAAGAAGATAAGACATCTGTTCTGTCATAAATATTGGTAACTTTGCAAATGTGGATTGAAAATTCAAATTATTTAGATCTTCGCATAGTTCTCACATAAGACCAAGAATTAGGAAGCTCATTAGGAAGCTCACTCAGATGCTACCAATACCTAATCACGATAGAGCCAGCTATGTAGGAGCATCTCTTTTTCACTACATCTCCTTTGGCTTTAACCCTGAAAGGGTCAGAAATCTAAGCCTTTCTATGACCCTTCCCCCAAAGCAAGCTGCCAGCTGATGCCAACTCAAGTTAGGTAAAGTGGTGAAGGTGTAACTCAAAATAATGTTTGGAGTCATGTGATTATAACATTGGATGGGACAATTCAGAGGCTGTTCTTGTAACTACTAGCAATTAGGGCAAAACATCATCTGAGAGTGAATGAAAACTATGGAATCTGCCTAAGACTTTTTCTGGCAGCTTTGGAAGAATCACGGAGGGAAAAATGATGTTGTTTTATGCTTGTGTCTCATTCCCTCACTGGGATATCTCCAGGAGTCAGTGTTGGCAATGCTGGTGGTAGGGAAACAATGATCGATCGATATTAATAGTTGCTGGTTACACGAGACACCATCTTAAGTACTTCTCTCCCATTCACCCTTTTTGTGTGTGTGTCACTATTCATAGGTTTACTGGTTAGGAAAATACCTAGTAGTTAATACAACAATATAAAATGTTACAATGGTTCTATTTGAATCCATTTTGATACCACCCACAGGTAGTAGTGATTGCTCACATTTTTCCTCTCTTTGTTAAGTGATCTGCATGAAGTCTACATTTTCTGGTCTTGAATCTGGCAACTCTTCATTCGTTTAATATATCTTGACAATGAAAAACATTAAAACAAACAAACAACAACAACAACAACAAAAAACATTGACTTACCACCCTGTCTGGGAAAAAGGGAGCTCTGTGTTTCTCTTCATTGACGGCAATGTGCAGATCAGCATCTGAAATGTAAAACCAAGTATTATCAGAAGGAATGTGAAATAAAACAAAAACAAAACAAGAGAGTGTTAAGAACTAATGGGCTCTTAACTAACTAATGTTAAGAACTAATGTTAAGAACTAGTTGTAGCTCAGTGGTAGAGTGCTTGCTTGGCATGTGTGAGGCCCTGGGTTCCATGCTCAGCACCACATAAAAATAAATAAATAAAATAAAAGATCCATTGACAACTAAAAAATATTAAAAAAAAAAAAAAAAAAGAATTAAGAGAAGGAGCCGGGCGCAGTGGCACACGCCTGTAATCCCAGTGGCTCAGGAGGCTGAGACTGAAGGATCGCAAGTTCAAAGCCAGCCTCAGCAAATACGAGGTGCTAAGCAACTCAGTGAGACCCTGTCTCTAAATAAAATACAAAATAGGGCTGGGGATGGGGCTCAGTGGCTGAGCGCCGCTGAGTTCAATCCCTGCTACCAAAAAAATAAATAAATAAATAAATAAATAATTTTAAAAAAGAATTAAGAGAATGAAACAGATTGTGTGAACAATAATCCAGACTCACTGAATTCAAACACAACATCTGGAATAATTCTGTAGCTTTCCTGTATGATGCCCAACTCAAACACCACTCCTCTATCATCAATTATTAATAACTTTGCAAATGTGGATTGAAAATTCAAGTTCCTCTAAATCCTATAAACTATTAATTTATACCTCATATCTATCCTATATTTTAGTCACAGATATCTAATCTGGTTAGGTAGTACATATGAGCCTAGGGGTCAGTATTTCTGTCTGATTCCTCTTTGATTGGCTCATACAAGATATTTTAATAATTATTGAAGATGAATAAATAATTCATGATACATAAATAAATTATTACATGCTTTCTGTTCTTATGATATTTGTTGATTTCTTTTCCACCTTTACATGGAAATAGATGCCCAATCTGTGAGAATGAAACCACTGTATGCGTTATCAGTGGAGCGATTATATGGTTTATTACCCAATCTGAATCATATGCCTTTAATAATTAGGCCAAATTGCCAGGCACCAAGTAAGAAGTCTTGAACAATGTGAGGTTTCCTGGCAAAGTGTTCCAGAATCTAGAAATTTGGTCCTAATGGGGGGGAGCCATCCACCCAGGGTTTAGTCCAACAAGGGGTCATGCATTACATGCTTCCCAGAGGGTACATCCTGGGGCCGCTTTGCAACTCTGCTGGCAGCACAGGAACTTCCCATCCACGAAGAACCCACTGTGGTACTTGATCAGCAGGTGGGGGTTGCCCCTTATCTCTGAGGAGCAGGTAGAAAGGAAACAAGATGTGAGCAGATGTTGGCTCAAGAGGAGAAACACAGCCAGCAAGCACTGTCATGGCAGAACAATAAAAACTCCATTTGCCAATAACTGAGGTAAGAGCCAGTGGTTCCTGAAGGATATGTCTTTCATTCAGAAGTTAATAAACCACAAAGAAAAAAGTTTAGCTATGTGCATAGTGAGAACAACACAATAACATATCATTCTTTAAAAAACACTAGTAAAAATGCATATACAAATCAGCTTGCTGTTGTTGAATTTTAGAAATTCATCCATAGATCTAGTATGGAAGGACTAGATCTTAACAAGGAGACAAAAATTCTTATAGCTTACACTTCCCTTCACTTTTTATTTTGAAAACACTCAAATGTACAGAAAAGTTATAATAGTATAATAAACATTCATGTACCCTTAACAGATATTCACCAATTATTAATTAAACATCTTTCTTTCTATACATATCATTATTTTAAAAAATTTTATCATTATTAAATTTTGCTTAATAATTTGAGAGTGAATAGCAGATATTATGACCTAAATAATGTCAACCATAGATTCTTCAATGTGTAACTTTTATTAACAAGGGCATTCTGGGGCTGAGGTTATGGCTCAGTGGTAGAGCACTTGCCTAGCATGCATGAGCCACTGGGTTCCATCCTCACACCACATAAAAATAAATAAATGAAATGAAGGTATTGTGTCCATCTACAACTAAAAAATATATATATTAAAAAGAGGGTGTTCTCTTATATAACCATAATACAATCATCACATTCAGGAAATCTAGTAGTGATAAAATATTACTAATAATATGAATTTCACATTTAAACATTTTTTTGACTGTTCCAATTATGTCCTTTATAGTCACTTACTTTTTCTGATCAAGGATCCACTCCAGAGTCAATGTGACATTTATTTATCTAGTTGCCCTTGACATAGAATGGTTTCTTATCCTTTGTCTTTCATGACTTTGACATGTTTAATGAATGGCTTATGGGTTACTTTTCATGGAATAGGTACATATTAAAAAAAAAAAAACTATAGGAATACATCAATATTTAATCCAAAGAATTTAATTTCTAATCTTGGTATATAATACTAAATCTATAACAATTTAGCCTCTTTTGAAATACAACAGAGAAGCTTACAAGGTCTTAATAGAGATTAGTTTAAGAAGCACTGCTAGGTGGGGGATTTCTTATTTTAATCTCAGAAGATCTGCTCCTCCTTTAGAACCTACTCAAGGAAGTGTATGGAGATAATAATAAATATTTTGCTGAGTCACTGGGAAGATATAAGATAATGTATATAAATATTTGGCCCCCAAAATAGGTGTTCAGCTTTTGTAATCATTCCCTTAGTTTAACTCAGTTCAGTTTAGCTAAAAATGCTGGCATTAAAAAACTTCACTACCGAAAATTATTACAAAAATCACAGAAAGCAAAAGGAATAAAGACTCTAAAACACAACTTTCTGATTTTGGTTCCAAAGGATCCTTGGAATTTCTTGGGCACATTACTTGTCTTCCTGCTGTCTAAGCTCCTGGTCTCACATGTCAAGATTCCTAGGATTTCCTACTGTGTGGATTTAGATTCCTGAGCAGCTAATTCTTTTTCCAATCTAGTCCAAAAGTTTGCACTGCAGCACTCCCATCACCTAATAATGTCAATAAGAGGAACTTTCTATAAAAATTCAAAATACAGTAGCTACAGGATTTACACAGTCCCAGTAAGACCTGGACTTTGCCCTGGTAAAGACAAGCACAGTGGGTGGAAAGCAGGTGGCTTAGCTTCCCCAGCTGCTGGCAAGACACAATAGCGAGCTCTGTGCTGAGCAGGGTGGGGGGCGGGAATCTAATCCTCAGGCTTCCTGTTTGTTAACAATGAGAATGCAAAAGGAGGATGCGTCTGGCATATTCCCTGAGGTTAGTAGGAAAATCAGTAGATTATTTCTTGGCATTGGGTCCTTTTACTGCTTTATCTTTCCTCCACCAAGCCTCAAGAGAATTCAATCCATGAGTCTCCTTTATATGACATTTTTATTACCTTTTTGTAATGCTTTCAACCATTGACTTCGGCTTTCTTCATTTGATGCATAGACATAGAGAAGTCCATCTTTATAGACAATCTGGAAAGGAAAGAATGTGGTTCATTTTGATATAATATATTGTTTATTAGCTTTGGAATTAGATGGAGAAAAATCTATACTTTTTGTTTGTTTTTATCTTCCACTTTTCAATTTATTTTATCCCAGACAGTTCAAATCTTTGGAAAATCATAGAAATGATGCATCTGACAGCGGTGAGCATTGAGGTGTCAGTAGGGATGCCCTGGACCGTGGAGAATTATGTTAGACATTGCATGTGTCTTACAAGGGTTCTGGCCCATCCATTTGCCCATTGATCAATTCCTTTTACAGCCCATTGAAAACCAACTGCTTTATCCTTAAAAATATGTCTAAGGATGGAATATTCTTTATTTTTTTCAGGTCATCTGTCGGTCTTCATATATTCTGATCATTTTACAGTTCATCTTTACATTGAATAAAACTATGTCTACTTGTTACTTTAGTCTTGCTTTGTATGGCACCCTGGAAATCTCCAGAATAAATATTCTTTTGTTTGTTTTTTTCTAAAGAAACTTGTTTAAATGTTTGAAGATTATAATGTTTTCTCAAGATCCCTCTCTACTTTATTCTATTCTTGATAATAATTTTTAATAAATTTATTAAACACCTACTAGTTTCTGGGCTCTTTACTAGGTACTATAATATTTTAATCCTATTTCGATTCTATGAAAAAGATATGAGTATGCCTTTTTGTTAACAAATGAGAAAACATACTCAGAGAAAAGTTGAGTATGTGCTTATAGCTATACACCTGGTAGGATTAGGAGCTCTGCAGGATTCCAAAGTCTGTGTGCCTTTGAGTACCCTATGCTTCTGTGATGTGAATTTGTAGCCTCTTCCTTGAGCACACTCTTCCCTGGTTTCTCCCAATTCGGTAATGTAGTTATACTTGGAAATATGGGTTGTTGATCAACTGTATTATTGTACTTCATTTCTGACTACAGGTCCCCAATACTAGCACTGGATAATCTGGCCATCTGAAAGACAACCCATCCAGGGCTGGGATTGTAGCTCAGTGGCTGAGCGCTTGCCTTGTATGCATGAAGCACTGGGTTAGATCCTCAGCACCACATAAAATAAATAAAACAAAGATATTGTGTCCATCTACAACTAAAAAAAACAATGTTTTTTAAAAAAAAGAAAGACAACCCATCTGTCTTTAAATCAGAAAGAAGTGTTGATTATATAATAAAAGTAGGGCATGACTTAAATCAAGCCACTTCCAAAAGGTACTGAAAGGATACTTTCCGTAGCATACCATACTTCAAGGTAAAATTAAAATTTCTTAGAATGATGTGCAAAGTCCTTCATGATTCTGCCCTGTCCACCTCTCCTGGATCATCTCTGTCTCTCTCATGAGGCTTCTTTTTCAGAGTGACTCCTATCTCACACATCAGTGCCTTGACAGTCCTGTTCTTTTGTTCTGCTGCCTTTTCTTTCTGTGCTGGCTTAAACACTTATTTGTCCTTCCTAACCTGACATCTTGGCGTGAGGAGCAAAGCTAGCTTCCGCTTCCTGGAGCACAGTGGATATACTATGCTGACCTCCATCTTACCACTTGTTTGTTAGTCTATTTTGCTATGTCCCTTGTAAATTACCTTGGGGCAGGGTGAATATTTTATTCTGTATAATGTTTCTACTACCTGGAACCCAGCAGAGACACTCAGCAATGTTTGATAGCAGAAATTGTCAGAGCTGAGGCAGGTCAGGCCATTGCAGTTTATACTCTCATCTTGCTTCCCTTCCCTCCAAGGGATGCAGATTGGTAGACAGAATTTTAGCAAAATGTGCAACTCCCATTCAGGAATATTCCAAGTCATCATTCTCTTAACAGATCATTTTGCAATATTATTATTTTGCCTAGATATACTGAGTTCATGATAGAAAATGTCAAAGTGAAGAATCAACTACTCGAGCTGATGTTGTGCCTTGTTTTACCTGAAATGGGTACTGTCTCTCCACAGGTGTCTGCTCCTCGAGATTGACTTTCTCCACACACCTGATTTTCTTAATTTCAATTGATCCTTTTCTACTTCCTCTTTTCTGAATTAAAACACAAAATATTAGATTTCTCATGTGATACGCCATGGTACATAGAGAAAAGCATAAAGCTAAAGTTATGATTGGGAGAGAGATTTGGAGATGGTATGATCAATGGAGAATCACTTCCCTTTCTCTAGAGTAGTCAAGTGTAAACACACACATACTCCAAAAGCAAGTGTTTAAGCACTAGTTAAAATTTTGTTTGAGAATCATAAAATGGGGTTCGACCCCCCAGTTCCAAAAAAAAAGAGAGAATCATAAAATGTGTTTCAAATCACCTGCCATGTGGCTAATATACTCAGGAAAATCAAGAAATTTAATTCCCCAAAGCTTCTTCACTTCATTTCAATTTTATGACAGTATTTAGTGTGTTTTTACAAAGTTAAAATTCTCACCTGTGCAGAGATATTTGTTTATCCAGTGTTGTTTCAAAGCTGCATTTCTGATCCTCAACACTATTAATATTTGGGGCTGGTGAGATCTTTGCTATGGGGTCTGTCCTACGTATTGTAGGATATTTAGTAGCATCCTGGAATTTACTCACTGGATGCCAGTAGTACTTGCCCCATAATTAGTTGTGACAACTGGAAATGTCTCCAGTAGTTACCCAGTGTTCTCTGGGAAGCAAAAATGCCTTCAGTTGAGAACTACTATTCTAAAGTCATCTTTTTTGTTGTTGTTTTGTTTTTTGATACCAGAGATTGAACCCAGGGGCTTTAACCATTGAGCCACATCTCCACATCCCCAGCCCTTTTTATATTGAGACAGGGTCTTGCTAAGTTGCTCAGGCTGGCTTTGAACTTGTGATCCTCCTGCCTCAGCCTCCCAAGTTACTAGCATTACAGGTATGCCCCACCACACGGAGCTTATAAAGTCAAAATTTACTTTAGTAAAGTTAAACAACATGTACAAAGTAAAAACACTCTTGCTTTTTATCCCAAAATAAAAAAAAAATTTTTAAAACCCTTCATTTTGAATTCATCACACTTTGGTTAAGGAAGGGCAGTGTAATCAGTGGATGCCAGTTGATCTTCACTGCACAAGCTGAGAAACCTGATATTCTTTCACTGTAATCAAGTACTTTGTGGAGACTTAGGAAAAATAATAAACAGTATAAAAACAATGGAATAGAGTCTCACCATTTTGTCATATTCATAGTAAGAAAGGTTTGTTTTAGTCAAAACAAAAAGCCGCTCTTTGTAATTATTTGGTGACATTTTCTTCTTTTGCTGTGACCTTTTGAGAAGAAGTTCTTCTAGAATGGATTTTGAATCCATATTATCGTCCTAAATAAAATAAAATAATTTGAATGAGTGTAGCCTCTAGCCAGGTTCTCTTTTAGCCTTCCTATATTTTACTCAACTATTTCTCATTTAGGACTAATCTATATGCTAATTTTAAAAAATAAGATTATAAATAACTACACACATACCTACAGCTTTTTCTACTGCCTTTGTTCTGAATTTTATAAATATGCTGATATTTTTAAACTTTATTTATTTTTTTCTTATGTGATACTGAAGATCAAATCCAGTGCCTTGCTCGTATTAGGCAAGCGCTCTACCACTGAGTCCAACCCAAATATGTTGATTTTTAAAAGCATTTTGTGAATTGAATAATGAACTCATTTCCCAGTCTGCACCATAAATTCACCATCTTTACACCACCCTCTAGACCACCTTATCACAATGTTCTTTATTCCTTAAGCATTCCTTAGGTGTTTGTTGAATTGAATAGGATATAATAAAACTTTCAAAAAATTGCAGTTCAGAGAGTTCACCATATATGAATTAATTGATCAACTGAAATTTCCCTCCATTTATGTGGCTAGTGGTTTGTGAGAGAAATATCATGGCAGATGACATTGTAGTGGTCAGATCTTCAACAAAAAGGATATGGGTATAATTTTAAATATTTCAGAGATTTTAAAATCAAAGTGACTCCTCAAGATAGAATAAAAGGAAGAAAATACTTGGAAATTCAACACAATTTATATCAAAAGAGATTTAAAAGACCTAAAAAAATCAGTACATTTACAGAGTAAAAACACTTTTGCTTTTCTATCAGAAGCATGTAAAGCATTGAGTAAGGTATTTTTGAAAAATAAATTCAAAGACTGTTGTAACTTCAGTCTGATCTCAAATCTGATCATGAAAAAGACGGATGTTAGGCAGTAAGCCACAGGAGATAAACTTTCTTTTGTTCTTTGCCTTCTCAAACTACATCATTGTTTATAGTTAGATGTCTACTAGTTAAGATCTTTGTTTGATGATCTGAGATAATTTACTTACCCCAAACTCCTTAGAGCCGAAGTCTACACGGGTCCCTAAGTTTAACTCTCAAGCTCTAAGCAAAAGTTAGTGTTCCGAGCCACCATCACTCATATTTCCTCTGGCTATGCCAGGGTTGGGCTTTAAAAAGAAGATATTTGCATCCTATTTATCACTCTTGATCAGGAAGCACCCACACAGGCATTGCTCTGTCTCACTGGAGGCAGGTGCCAGGTAAATCCATCCAATCAATTCTCACTGGCTCAGGACTATGAGGAGCCCACTATGGCCAGAAATGAAAAGAAAAGGAGACTAAGAAAGATAGCCAGATGTTGTATAAACCACCATTGGTCCAAGCCACCTTTCCTCCTGACATACACTATGCAACTCTGAAAGAGGGAATTTGGAAAACCAGCTTTTATTATTGATTTGCCTTTATTATTTACTTAAAAATGGCACTCCTGACAGCTCACAGGAGAGCTATTTATTATTATTAATGAGGAGACTATTTATTAATCCCTAAAATGGCCTCCATGGGCTTTGCTTGACTTATGGACAGAAGTAGTGAAAATCTTATTCATTAAAAATAATAACTTTTTGCTTTGGATATTGTTTCACTGAGTTTTAAAATAGGATAATTCTTTTGCAGAGGTAGAAAAGTGGAGTGGATTCTCTTGAGCACAGTGGGTGTTGTCCACAGTGGTCACTGGTTTCTTTGCTTGGAGCTAGGAGACAGGGCAGAGATCAGGGTGGAGTGGAGCTGGCAGGATCTACAGAGGCAGATAGATGTCACACCATCCTTACATCTCTGCCTTGGTTGGAAACTCTATGCATATGCCTGCCTAGATAAGCTTTTCTTTTTTTGAGGTGGGGGGGTACTTGGAATTGAACTCAGGGCACTGGACCACTGAGCCACATCCCCAGCCCTATTTTGTATTTTATTTAGAGACAGGGTCTCACTGAGTCGCTTAGTGCCTCACCATTGCTGAGGCTGGCTTTAAGCTTGCGATCCTGAGCCACAGGGATTATAGGCGTGTACCACCTCATCCAGTTTAAATTTATTTTTTACATCCAAAATGTATAGCTAGCTGAGAATCTGCTTGAAATTCACGGAAACCATGCAGGTATACTTTTTGTGAGATGTAGACCCCTTTGGGGGAGCCAAACACTAGACAGAGCTTCAGGGCACACTTGCATTTCCATATTTAAAATTTTTACTAATAAAGCAGAAAGAGAAAAGTGTAAAAACTTTTGCCAAATCTCTTTTATGCCTACAGCTAAATATTACTCTTTAAAGAAGAGTGGTAATTAAATAGATCTGGTTGGTTGAACAGAAAGTTTGCTTTTTAGAATTTTTTCAGGTGCCGAATAAATTCATGACATTAAGGACACTTTACAAAATGCAAGACCCAAAGTCCCAGCTGTTCATGATGATATACACACTTTTCTATGTATGGAACTTTCATATGCATCACATTTAAAATGTTTTTTTTTTTCAAAATTCTATATAAAAATTAATGAGTTGCTGGCCTGGGGAGGTGGCTCAGTGGTAGAGTGCTTGTCTCGCATGCACAAGGCCCAGGGTTCAATCCTCAGCACCGCAAAACAAACAAATAAATAAATAATGAGTTGCAGAAACCACTGACACATCCACAAATTTTCCTGTGTCTATTGAAGAGAAGAAGAATATTGAGTAGAAATGAAGAAAGGTATGAAGCCCTCAAGATTCTTCAATAAATCACCCAGGATTTACAAGGCTTGTTGCATCTGACAAAATAAAATTTGTCTAATTTCAACATAATTGTTCATTTCAAAATCTTGCCCATTGTGAATTTTTTTCTTTCATTTCTAAAATTATAGTGGTATAGGTTTATTCTTCAAAACCAAGAACTACAAGTAGGTGAAAGAATGTAAGTTTAGATTCTTTTTTTTTTCAAATATACACAGGCACATGCTTATTTTTACAAAGATGGGGGTCACATCTTGTGCATGTGGGTCTGCAATATGCTATTGTTATGTAACAAACACCTGGAGCCACAAGTCTTTGAAGTTCTATCTCAGAGAGCCAGTCCCTCAGAACTCTCCTCCCCAAGGTGGACTCCAAGGCTTCCTTAACCAACTTCAAAGCCCTGTTTTGATGATGCATGCTTTTGTCATCTCCTGATGAGTTTCTTCAAAGACAAGCTTTGTGGTTCGAACTCAGGCTTACACCCACTGTTCCCCTTCTATTTGCTCTGTCTCTATATTTTCCCCTTTCTGCTCTAAATAGTCTAGATTCTAAATTAAAGGCATTTCTATGGTCTCACTTGATATAGGGGTGATAATTGGTGATGACTAATTTTTAGAAATGTAATGACTTCTTCCTTGTATTAGGACGATAAATAAACAAGGCTCAGGTACCACTGTTGGTTGATTCAAATGCCTGTCCAACACCTGGCAAACCCTTCTCTGCTCAGCCTTTCCCCACCCCCGCACCCCCTTATTAAAGGGAAATTCAGTTGAGAAGGTGAAAGAAAAACTTTTCAAAATATAATGAGATCCTACACCTAGTTAGCATTAAACAGAAATCTATTTCCATAGAGGAGCAGGTGGGATTTGGCTGGACTCTCATTACCTCCCATGTAGAATAGAAATACTGATTTGCTTACCAAATAGCCCAGGCTGCCTATTTCCATAAACACATAAAACTAGAGAGATATTAAAACATAGGGAAGAAAAAAAAAAACACTAGCTGAAATCAATACAGTATTTTCTACAAAGAAGCCAGTAAGCATTATGTAACCTATTAAATACACAAAAGGCACATATTGAATTAACAGGACTGTAATCACTATGATTATTTAGGATTTTTAAGGAAAGAATATTATGAGAGTAAGAAGTTCACATTTTGAAAGTCAATAAGAACATGCGACCTTAAAGACTGAAATAAATTTTAAGTGGTACCGAAGAGGCGTAGGAGGCACCCAAGGAGTGGGGAAAGGTCTATGTGTTTAAATAGAGCTATTGAACCAAAAAGTTTATTCCCTGACTGGCTCATAATTCTGCCTTACGGCTTTCTTCTTCAGGAATGAGAGATGAGGACAGAAATTCCTTGTCCTTTTACTTGGTTCAGTTATATTCTTTTTATTTTACATGTCATTTTTAGCTAATGATTTTGATTACTGTCAAGTAGTTAAACAATACATATGTTGAGAAGACAGTAGAGGAGGGAGTATGAGAAGAAGGAGGAAGATTCTCCAAGAGGGGACTGGGCAGGGTCTGAAAGGGAAATCTGAGGACTCAGTGACAAACTTAATCTTCAAATATTTGCCCAAAGCCAGACCTGCTTATCTTCATGCTAAATAACTAAACAGAGTACAATGGCAAGTCTCAACAGGATCAAGAAGCTTAACTCAGAATCAGGTGGCAGGCAGTGGTTTAAGAAGTCTTACTATGCTGGTCAAAACCAAATACCAGCTCCTCAAAACCTGACAAATTCCTATTTCACATGCAGGACAGAGAAAATTGGAGTTGATCTTGGCATAGTATGACAGACAGAAACTCTAACATGGACACTGAAATCCTCAGTATTTTGAAACACCATAAATTAATTACTCTGAAAGGAATTTATGAAAAACCAGACATTTGGGGAGGACTATTTTCTCACAAAGAAAACAAAATTTCAATGCTATTCCTGATGGACTAAAATTTGCTTTGAGTGTGCAATTCATGTTCAGCACTTTCTAGAGCTTTTGTAAGCCCTTTCTTCTTCTTTGCAGCAACCACTTTTCTTTTGTTACCTCCCCTCTGCCCAAGGCACTCTTTTGGGGCACTTCCCTTAGGAGCAAAAGAAAAAGTGATCAATCCATGAGCTAAACAAGCTGGATTAGTTTACCACATAATGCTGCTTAGGTTGATGTGGGTGAAAGCATCAGGTTTCGGTTCATTTGTATCCTTGCTGTTTCTATGCAACCCCATGTGTTACTTCACCCTGCCAAACCTCAGCTTCCCCATCTGTAAAGGGAGTAAAAACAATAGCCACCTTGAAAGGTTATGAGGAGTCAAGAGAAAGTGGTAGTAACAATGCCCAGCACCCTAGTAGATGTTCTGGAAAGATACCCCTTCACCTTCCCACTCCCTAGGCAAAATTTAAAAGTAGACCATAGTAAAGTTAAAATACTGAAGCCCGAAGATCAAATTTCACTTTTCATCCCCCTGCCTCCAACTGCTAGGCATAGGAGTTAATAGGAGGCAGAAAGATCTCCTCTTGAATTCTCAAGTCAAAAAAAAAGCAAAGCAAGTGCTCTGTAGATTTGTTTCAGACTTCCCATCCTGGCACTCATTACCTTAAAATCAGGTTGAACCAGTCCCTTTTTGGTGGTGTATTGTACCATCATATTTCTTACAAATGAAAACTTGGAAGTTACTCAAAGTGTGGTCCGTCTGTAGGCTAACAACATTGGCACCATTTGGGAGTTAATTAGAAATGCAGACTCTCAGGTCCCACACCAGACTTAGTGCATCTGAATCTGCATTTTAGCAAGATCCCAGTGATCCATGTGCACATAGAGCTTGAGAAATGGTGATGTAGAGCACGATGTATTTGTACTATTTTTAAAAATCCAATGAAATGATCATGGTCCACAAGAACTTTCAGTGTAACTATATACTTAACCTTCTCATCTTTCTATGTCTGTCCAAAATACCACCAAGTCTCTGATTTAGGGAGACTTCGGGAAACTAAGAACCAATATTTATAGCTAAATTAACATCATGAAAGTATAAAGACAAGAAGATATAAGTGAAAATTCTGTCTTTTTGAAAGCAGTTACAAAGTCAATATAAAAAGCAGTTAGCAGAGGAAATAGCACAATTTGATAGCTTTTGATGAGATTTTGAGCAAGCAGTAAATTCACAATAGCAGTCTAAGCCTCTGGTTCCCAAATTACACCTTCCAAAGTGCCAGGGGAAGCCCCAACAATTTCATATTCATAATTTGGTATTACTTTTTCCTATAATTTCAAGCCCCATGACACCTGGATCTGAATCTATTTTCTTGTAGGATGTGACAGTGCACAGTCACCTGCCACTAAAACCCACCATTTTGGCTTGTTTGGTCGCCTGGGTCCACTGTGGTGAAGTTAATCTGCTCTCCCAGGAACACAGCTGAGGCTGTCCTCTTCCCAGTAGCAGCAAATCGGCTCACATTTTCTTGGCTGCTGGGTCAGAAATGGCTACATTACTCAGTGCCCCCCAAACGTTTATTGTCCTGCAGGGCCTTACACAATCCTACAGGAAACCACGCTCAACACTTAGCCAACACTTGTTGATCTGATTGAATGCAACAAAAACGGAGACAAAAGCATATTTCATAAAGGTTCCAACTTTGATAACTACAGCTCCTGCTTTTCCCAGGCAGCACTCGGGTACATGCGATAACCCTGCCTTTGTTTAGAGAACTCTGTGCTGGAAAGAACAAGAAAATCTCTCAGCAAAACGGGACTGCTGACGCTGACTTCTTGGTCAGGAAACCATTAGGTAATGCCAAAGGGCACAGAGAATAAGCAATGAAAACTTCAACTCAACACTTGGACAAAGGGACCAAAAAGGAGCACACTTCCACAGTTGCAATTAAGAATCTAGAAACAGAAAGGAGTTCAGTACAAGATTACAATGAAAAGGTGTGATTGTTACTTTATATCTTGACAATATCACCATGTTTGGCTTTACACGTTCTGTTAGGTAGTAGCAACCAATGAGCAGTGAAATGCAGGCAAGGTCACAAGTGTTCTTTAAATTACTCTAGGATCTTTAAGTGACTTCCAAAATAGATGAGAAAGCAAAGGGTGGTAGTTAATTTCTAAAAAATAAACAGTAGCAAGGGAGCTATTTGTAAAACTCATCAGAGAAAAGAATTAATGGGACTAACTCTTGACATACGCATATAAGTAAGGTTGATGTAAAGCTAGGAATTATGGCTATAAGTGTCTCCAATTGTCTGGGAAGGAAGATTCCTTTAACAGTAAAGGTGCACTAAGGTAACTTCTGACCAGCTATTGCCCCCTGTGCCCACATTAACATGAGACTGACTTGTAGATGAAGCCCCCCTAAATAGGATGGCCATCATGACAGTTCTGGAGAGGACCAACTAAGGTCAAAAACTCCACCATCCAATGTGAAGTAGGAGTTGAACTCCTGATTGGCAAAGAGTACAGAAGGTGTTGCCAGTTCCCCTGGTAAACATCAAACAGTAATAAATTGGTAGACAGCATTGTCTCCTTGCTGTTCTCTGCTCAGAGATGGCTCACTCTCTCTGGAGAGTGTTCTCTGCTTAAGCCTCACTTTGCTTTTACTTTACTTTCTAGACTAAAATAAAGTTCTCTTGCATGACTTTTGGAGTCAGACTTTAAATTTTATTTCATCAGAACACAAGAACCGAGATTTGAAGTTTCAGCTCCCTGCTTTACTGTGACAGTTCCACCGTTTTCTCTGGTGCACACTGGCTGGTCACATATAATAAATCTAATGACATGTTTTAGACTCTGCTATGTATACCCAAGAAAATCAATCATTCTTTTGGCATGCATTGATATACTGTATTAACATAAATTTTTGAATGCTTTAACTTACTCATAAGCATCTATGATGTGATAAAGTTTTGGAGGAAAGCAAAACTATTGACTTTCAAAGAGGTATTTTTATATATATACCAGGGGTGCTTTACCACTGGGCTTCATCCTCAATCTTTTTTTTATTTTTGTACTTTGAGACAGGGTTTCGCTAAATTGCCAAGGCTGGCCTTAACCTTGAGATCATCCTGCTTTAGCCTCCCAATTTGCTGGGATTACAGGCATACACCGGCACACCTGGTGTCAAAGAGGTATTCTTTTGGGTGGACAAAGAAATAGCATAATTTCTATTCATTCAGTCAAATCTTACTGAGAGACACAGCAGTCAACAGAACAGAGGCAGCCCACATTTCCGGGGGGGCTTATGTCTAATGGGGGAGGAGCACAAATCACAGTTTAATTCCAGTAGAGTGTGAAAAAGAACTTGCAGAGACATTTTTAATATTTCTGTTTGGGAACTGGAATTTGCGAGAGGGCAAAGAGTCCTTCAGAAAATTCAAGAGTGTAGATTATACTTTGATAGCAAATAAAAGTCACTGATGAATTCCAAATAGCTTTCCATCCTCTAAGGATAAAGTTTGCAGTCATTGATATCTTGGGAGCAAAGCAGAGTAATGATAGCATAACAACCTGGTAAAGTAAGTTCTACCTTCTGCCAATTAACTTTTTTTTTTCCATATGGTGCTTTGTATTTATGCCACTGCTTATTACATATGGTAACACGGTAAAAGATGGATTTTAGAATAAAAAGTAAATTTAAGGAGGTAAAGGAGGAGGTGGTATAACTGTGGAAACTTATGGGCACAATCTCTTGGAATTTCCATCCCTTCTCGGGGCTTAAAACACTCAAAGGCAGCTGGGAGGAGTGGTTTCCTCCAAGTCAAAATGTCATAGATTTATTTAGTTCTTCTATTCATTCACTTCCTCTGCTACTTCTCCTGAGTCTTGCATTAACTCTGCATTTTCCATATCTTCAGTTAAATCCTAATTTTTGACAACTTGCTATTTCAATTACATGATTTAATTTGCTCAAACTGCCACGTCACCTTCACCCAGTTGAGGCCCTTAGGATTTTACCCTAAAGCTTGTTCCTGTAAACCTTTAGCAGGAAGTACAGCACAACATTGGCTCATTTGACTTTACAACATGAATAAGCTTCTTCACTTGTGCTTACATTTTTTAGAATAAGATACATTCCTCTGGCTTATGGGTTTAAACATTACTTATATGCGTATGATTCCAAATTTTAGCCAAGATTTCCGCCTCCCCGAGCCCCACCCCGGATTCTAGAGTCACATTTCACTGTCAAATTGTACATTTATGCTTGAAATACCTAATAGATGTATCAGATTTAATATGCCCAAAGCAGACCTACTGATTAACCCCTTAAACTAGCCCCTTCCACAGTCTTCCCCTTCTCAGCAAATAGCAACTCTATCCTTCCAGTTGCTCATGCTAAAGAAAGCACGATCATCCTTGTTTTGTTTTGTTTTAGCATTCCCATACACCTCAACATTCAATCATTACTGAAATAAGGTTAGCTCTATCTTTTAAATGTGTCCCAAATTTGGCCGCTTTTCAATACCTCTACTGCTACCTACTGGCCAAAACTAATATCATCCCTCACCTAGAATATTGCACTAGCCTCCAGACTCTTCTTCCTTCCTCCACTCTTGCACCCTACAGGTATTCCTCACTGAGTAGCCAGATTAAATGTATATCAAATCTTTCCCACTTCTCCAGTCTGAATTCCCCAGTATTCCTTCCTCTTCTGGTCCCTGAGTACTGTTTCTAACATCATCTCATATTATTTTCCTTCATCTTACCACTCCTAAAACTGGCCCACTTGCTGCTCCTCCTATGCTTTGAGTACCATCTGCCCCAGGGCCTGTGCATGGTCACTATCCTCTGCTTGATCAACTGTCCCAGAAATCTGCCTGGCTCATCTCCAAGCTCTGTTTCAAATAGCTTCTTACTAATGAGCCCTGCCCACGCCACTCTGTTAATATTATAATCTCACCCCCACCCAGCTTGCCCAACTTCCTTACTCTTCTCTTTTTTCCATAATACTTATGACCTTATAGCACAATGCATAATTTACTTATTTATCACTTTTATTGTCTGTCTTTATTAAAGAGTCAGCCCACAAGGGCCAGCAGCTTCTTTCTGCAGCCTGAGCTTTTCCTGTGGTTATCTCTCCTCAGGGGGTATCACTCCATCACTGTCTGCATTTATTCCTTTTGATACTCTGCTCGGAGCCTGGAATCTGATGTGCACTGTTCATACTTACTGGAATTGTAGATTAATAAAGTGTCTCTCCTAAGGATGCTTGCTTCTCAAACCTTGGGTTCAGCAAACAACCTTGCTCCTGATGAAAGGAGATAGTTGAGTAAGGGATCTGAGGTACACACTAAAAGTCTTATTGTTTAATGTTGCTACAACCTTTCCTGACATCTATGAAATCTTTACATAAGCTATTGGCAGTTCATCAATGTTATTCCCAATTTTTGGTGGGAGGTAAGCATTTGGGGTCTAGATGAAGTACCATCTGTTTTGTAAATAAAACACATTGGAACAGAGCTATCATTCATTTGTACATCAAATCTGGCTGCTTTTATTCTATAATGGCAGAGTTGAGTGGTTATGACAGAGACTACACCTGAAAAGTGTCAAAAATTTACTATCTGACCTTCCCAGATTAAATTTTCTAACTCGTGCTTTAGTGAATCCTGCCAGGCCTGTAATCTCAGTGGCTTGAGAGGCTGAGGCAAGAGGATCATGAATTCAAAGCCAGCCTCAACAAAAGTGAGGCACTTAGTGACTCAGTGAGACCCTGTCTCTAAATAAAATATAAAATAGTGCTGGGGATGGGGCTCAGTGGTCAAGTGCCCCTGAGTTCAATCCCTAGTATTAAAACAAAAAAAAAAATCCTGCTGTCTGCAGAAGTGACCTAGTAGATTGGAATTCAGTTCAACAGCTCAATTTCACAGACATTGACTCAATTGTACTGTGCACAGGTGCCAGAGTTAGAGGCAAAGAAAGTGGACAAACAAGGTATCATTAAGGACTCCTTCCAGTCCTGATTCCCACTTTGATTTGAATTATTTTTTTCTTGAAATTTTATCATGAAAAAGTCTCTACATATAGAAAAGTGAAGAGGTTGAAGCATTCATACACCATCATCTAGAGTCTACGATTAACATTTTATTGTATTAGCTTTGTCATATAACTATTCATTCATCCCTCTAACTTATTATTATTTTGGGTGTATTCAGAGTAAATCTCAGATTTAGGTATGTGTCATCCATATAGACCTCAGCAGACATGACTTCAAATTGGTTTTTATTTTAACTCCAACACTACAATCCTGAAAGCAGTCCTCATCTAATTTGGTTAGAAAAAACGACTTTACCAAGGTTGAAAACTGAGAAAGGTTATCAGAGTAATTGAGGTAAGTATCAGGGGAATCATTCAGCTAAATTTTTCTGTTTTCCTAGTTCAGAGATGAATCAGCCTTTCAGGGCCAAGAGTGATTTGCTTGTGATGGATTCTAGGAATGTTCTGTG